AATAGATTGAAATAGAAATTTTCCAAAAACCTCAAGGGGCTCACATAAACTGTTCTGGGACTTCCCTGTTGTTTGTGTCCACGTTCAATTGAGTTCAAATTGAATATTGACCATTTCCTCCACAAATTACCCTGTATTGATAAATTGACTCTGTCTTGATAAATCGTGGTGGTGCATGGATGTAATCCCAGCTACTCAGGTAAAAGGCAGGTGAACCCCTTGGTCCGTTAGACAACCTCTGCCTCCTTGGGTTCAAGCGATTCTCCTGCCTCAGCCTCCAGAGTAGCTGAGACTACAGGTGTGCACCACTCCACCTGGCTAATTTTTTGTATTTTTATTAGAGACAGGGTTTCACCATATTGGCCAGGCTGGTCTTGAATTCCTGACCTCAAGTGATCTGCTCACCTTGACTTTCCAAAGTGCTGGGATTACAGGTGTGAGCCACAGTGCCTGGCCTTAATGATTTCTATCTCCTATAACAGTTTGAAATTACTCCTTTGGGAGGCTGAGGTGGGTGGATCACGAGGTTGAGAGATCGAGACCATCCTGGTCAACATGGTGAAACCCCGTCTCTACTAAAAATACAAAAAACTAGCTGGGCGTGGTGGCGCGTGCCTGTAATCCCAGCTACTTAGGAGGCTGAGGCAGGAGAATTGCCTGAGCCCAGGAGGCGGAGGTTGCGGTGAGCCGAGATCGCGCCATTGCACTCCAGCCTGGGTAACAAGAGCGAAACTCCGTCTCAAAAAAAAAAAAAAAAAAAAAAAAAGAAATTACTCATGGCCGGGCACGGTGGCTAAAGCCTGCAATCCCAGCACTTTGGGAGGCCGAGGCGGGTGGATCACGAGGTCAAGAGACAGAGACCATCCTGGTCAACATGGTGAAACCCCGTCTCTACTAAAAATACAAAAAATTAGCTGGGCATGGTGGCGCAGGAGGCTGAGGCAGGAGAATTGCCTGAACCCAGGAGGCGGAGGTTGTGGTGAGCCGAGATTGTACCATTGCACTGCAGCCTGGGTAATAAGAGTGAAACTCCATCTCAACAACAACAAAAAAGAAATTACTACATACTGTTTCAAATTGAAAAAATTCAAAGAATGTAGATAAAATATTAAAAGTTAAAAAAATTAGAAGACAGTACAATTTATATGTAAATTTTGAGAGGTCACAAATGACAAATTTGACTTATTTACACGGTTTTATTAAAATTAGCTTTAGTAGGTCAGGCACAGTGGCTGACGTCTGTAATCCCAGCACTTTGGGAGGCCAAGGTGGGCAGATCATGAGGTCAGGAGTTCAAGACCAGCATGACCAATACAGTAAAACACCATCTCTACTAAAAATACAAAAATTAGCCAGTCATGGTGGTGTATGCCTGTATCCCAGCTACTCAGGAGATTGAAGCAGGAGAATAGCTTGACCCCGGGAGGCCAAGGTTACAGTGTGCTGAGATTGCACTACTGCACTCCAACCTGGGTGATAGAGCAAGACTACATCTCAAAAACAACAACAAAATTAGCTTTAGTATTGATAATACACTGTTAACAAAGCAAAAGTTGATTTTCTCTCAAATAAAAATATATTATTAATATGACAGCAAAATTCTGTTAACCTATTGAATACCTTCAAAAATAGAGAGCAAAAAAGAAATAAAATTTTCCCATGCTATGAAGTGGGCCTCAGCTAAGGGAGGAAGTCCTGTTTGAAATGCAGCCAGTGGGAGCGGTGACTCATGCCTGTAATACTAGCATTTTGGGAGACAGAGGCAGGAGCATCACAAGGTCAGGAGTTTCAGACGAACCTGGCCAGCATAGCAAAACCCTGTCTCTACTAAAAATACAAAAATTAGTTCTGGGGCAGTGGCTCACACCTGTAACCCAACACTTTGGGAAGCTGAACTGGGCAGATCATGAAGTCAGGAGATCGAGAGCATCCTGGCTAGCACAGTGAAAACGCTGTCACTACTAAAAATACAAAAAATTAGCCAGGCCTGGGGGTCTGCGCCTGTAGTCCCAGATACTCGGGAGTCTGAGACAGGAGAATTGCTTGAACTCAGGAGAAGGTTGCGGTTAGCCAAGATTATACCATTGCACTCCAGCCTGGGAAACAAGAGTGAAATGGTGTTCCAAAAAAAAAAAAAAAAATTAGCGCCGGGTGCGGTGGCTCAAGCCTGTAATCCCAGCACTTTAGGAGGCCGAGGCGGGTGGATCACGAGGTCAAGGGATCGAGACTACCCTGGTCAACATGGTGAAACTCTGTCTCTATTAAAAATACAAAAAATTAGCTGGGCATGGTGGCTCGTGCCTGTAATCCCAGCTACTCAGGAGGCTGAGGCAGGAGAATTGCCTGAACCCAGGAGGCAGAGGTTGCGGTGAGCCAAGATCGCGCCATTGCACTCCAGCCTGGGTAACAAGAGCGAAACTCCGTCTCAAAAAAAAAAAAAAAAAAATATTAGCTAGGCGTGATGGCGAGTGCCTGTAGTACCACCTACTAGAGAGGCTGAGGCAGGAGAATCACGTGAAGTCAAGAGGGGGAGGTTGCAGTGAGCCAAGATTGCGCCACTGCACTCCACACTGGTGACAGAGCATGGCTCCGTTTCAGAAAACGTTAAAAAAAAAAAAAAGAGAAAAAGCTGAACGAACAAACAAGGATACACACAACAATATTAATAACAAACATACATATTAGCAAAATTTCAAAAATTACAGTTAAGAGAATTTGGGGAGCTGCAAGATAAAAGTGATGTTTCATTTATAAGCAGAGTCTCACAAGATAACCAGTAAATTTATCAAAACAATTTTTAGGTCAGAAGGAAACTGTAATATTGTTGAAGTTATAGTTAAAAAAAAAAAAAGCTCTCAGGTGGGAATATCAGCAAAATTGTACCACCAAATAAAAAGAAATCCTTCAAAATAACCAAATCCTGAGGAAGTAAGTATACTGGCACTGCATATGCCCTATATGTCAAAGATGTTGAAAGGAGTTTCTTTTACTGAAAATAGTATAATGCAAGAAAACAACACAAAATTATATGAAAATACATAACTGTCTGGAAAAGATAAGCAAATACAGAAAATATAGAATGTTGTACTTTATAATAGTGCATAAAATATATTAAATTATTCTCTAAAATATAAAAAAAGCATGGAAATTATTATAAATATGTTAATGAATATACAACATAAAAATATAATTGGCAAAATCAATAACAAAGCTGAAGGCAGATGTAATGATAAAGAATTTTTGTATGAAAATGAAGTTAAATTTACTACATTCAAATATATTGTTGGATATTTTAGAGGTTTTATATAATCTCCAGGTATTACTAAGAAAATATCTGGGTCGGTGCTGTGGCTTTTGCCTATAATCCCAGCATTTTGGGAGCCCAAGGCAGGCAGATGAAAAGACCAGGAGTTCAAGACCAGCCTGGCCAATATGTTGAAACCCTATCTCTACTAAAAATACAAAAATTATCTGGGCATGGTGACACGTGCCTGTTGTCCCAGCCACTGGGGAGGCTGAGGCAGGAGAACTGCTTGAACCGGGACCGGGGAGGCAGAGGTTTAGTGAGCCAAAACCACGAAAATGCACTCCACCCTGGGCTACAGAGCAAGACTGTGTAGGAGGGAAGGAAGGAAAGGAAGGAAAGAAAAGAAGGAAGGGCCGGGCGCGGTGGCTCACGCCTGTAATCCCAGCACTTTGGGAGGCCGAGGCGGGTGGATCACGAGGTCGTGAGATCGAGACCATCCTGGTCAACATGACGAAACCCCGTCTCTACTAAAAATACAAAAAATTAGCTGGGCATGGTGGCGCATGCCTGTAATCCCAGCTACTCAGGAGGCTGAGGCAGGAGAATTGCCTGAACCCAGGAGGCGGAGGTTGCGGTGAGCCGAGATCGCGCCATTGCACTCCAGCCTGGGTAACAAGAGCGAAACTCTGTCTCAAAAAAAAAAAAAAGAAAAAGAAAAAGAAAAAGAAAAAGGGTTTGGCTGCCTCTGGCCTAAACTTTCTCAACCTATGCAAACCTCTGCCTCCCAGGGAGGTTTTCGGTTATAACGGTTTGTAATATCTTCCCTTAATATCTCTGCTACCATCCTGAGTGCATCCCAACATGCCATGTCTCTTAAGAATTAAGAACTTGTGGCCGGATGTGGTGGCACACACCTGTAATCCCAGTACTTTAGGAGTCCAAGGTGGGTGGATCACCTCAGGTCAGAAGTTGGAGACCAGCCTGGCAAAGATGCGAAAACCCTATCGCTACTAAAAAGACACAAATGTGCAAGGCGTGGCTGTGGGAACCTGTAATACTAGGTACTCAAGAGTCTGAGGTAAGAGAATGGCTTGAATTCAGAAGGCAGAGGTTGCAGTGAGCCAAAATTTTGCACTTCATCCTTGGTGATGAGTGAAACTCTCTCTCTCTCAAAAAAAAGGGCAACTTGTTACAGAGTTTGCCACATTCCTCACTTACAAGGCTTCTGTTCAGTACGAATTATTTGTAATGAAGGTTGAGACCTTCCTTAAACACTTGGTCACATTCCTTATATTTTAGGGTCTATGTTTCATATAAATTCTCATATTAAGTCAGAGTTGAGAGTTGGTTAAAGGCTTTCCTACATTTACATTCATAGGGTTTCTCTCCAGTATGAATTATCTTATGTTTATTAAGATTAGAGGAATTCATAAAGGCTTTCCCACATTCTTCACATCAGTAGGGTTTCTCTCCAGTATGAATTTTCTTTTTGCTTTTTTTTTTTTTTGAGACGGAGTTTCACTCTTGTTACCCAGGCTGGAGTGCAATGGCGCAATCTCGGCTCACCACAACCTCCGCCTCCTGGGTTCAGGCAATTCTCCTGCCTCGGCCTCCTGAGTAGCTGGGATTACAGGCACGTGCCACCATACCCAGCTAATTTTTTGTATTTTTAGTAGAGATGGGGTTTCACCATGTTGACCAGGATGGTCTCAATCTCCTGACCTCGTGATCCACCCGCCTCGGCCTCCCAAAGTGCTGGGATTACAGGCTTGAGCCACCGCGCCCAGCCTGAATTTTCTTATGTCTAGTAAGGTCAGAGGAATTAATAAAGGCTTTCCCACATTCTTCACATCTGTAGGGTTTCTCTCCCGTATGAATTTTCTTATGTCTAGTAAGGTCAGAGGAATTAATAAAGGCTTTTCCACATTCTTTACATCTGTAGGGTTTCTCTCCTGTATGAATTTTCTTATGTGTAGTAAGGGTTTCAGATCGGGTAAAAGCTTTTCCACAATCTTCACATCTGTAGGGTTTCTCTCCAGTATGAATTTTCTTATGGTTAGCAAGGTTAGAGGAACTTGTAAAGGCTTTTCCACATTCTTCACATCTGTATGGTTTTTCCCCAGTATGAATTTTCTTATGTGCAATAAGGTTAGAGGAATGCCTAAAGGCTTTTCCACAAACTTCACATCTGTAGAGCTTTTCTCCAGTGTGAATTTTCCTATGTGCAATAACATGTCCGGACTGCTTGAAAGCTTTTCCACAATCTTCACATCTGTAGGGTTTCTCTCCAGTATGAATTTTCTTATGTTTAGCAAGGTTAGAGGAACTTGTAAAGGCTTTCCCACATTCTTCACATCTGTAGGGTTTCTCGCCAGTATGAATTTTCTTATGTGTAGTAAGGGTATAAGATTGGGTAAAAGCTTTGCCGCATTCTTCACATCTGTAGGGTTTCTCTCCAGTATGAATTTTCTTATGTGCACTGATGTGTGCGGCCTGCTTGAAAGCTTTTCCACAATCTTCACAACTGTAGGGTTTCTCTTCAGTATGAATTTTCTTATGTGCAATAAGGTTAGAGGAACTTGTAAAGGCTTTTCCACAATCTTCACATCTGTAGGGTTTCTCTCCTGTATGAATTTTCTTATGTGTAGTAAGGGTTTCAGATCGGGTAAAAGCTTTTCCACAATCTTCACATCTGTAGGGTTTCTCTCCAGTATGAATTTTCTTATGTTTAGCAAGGTTAGAGGAACTTGTAAAGGCTTTCCCACATTCTTCACATCTGTAGGGTTTCTCTCCAGTATGAATTTTCTTATGTGTAGTAAGGGTATAAGACTGGGTAAAAGCTTTGCCGCATTCTTCACATCTGTAGGGTTTCTCTCCAGTATGAATTTTCTTATGTGCAATAAGGTTAGCGGAACTTGTAAAGGCTTTTCCACAATCTTCACATCTGTAGGGTTTCTCTCCTGTATGAATTTTCTTATGTGTAGTAAGGGTTGCAGATCGGGTAAAAGCTTTTCCACAATCTTCACATCTGTAGGGTTTCTCTCCAGTATGAATTTTCTTATGTTTAGCAAGGTTAGAGGAACTTGTAAAGGCTTTCCCACATTCTTCACATCTGTAGGATTTCTCTCCAGTATGAATTTTCTTACGTCTAGTAAGGTGTGAAGACCAGTTGGAGGCTTTGCCACATTCTTCACATTCGTACGGTTTCTCCTCAGTATGAATTTTCTTATGTGTAGTAATGGTTAAGGACTGGTTAATAGCTTTGCCACATTGTATATATATGAAGAATTTTTTCCCAATATGTCTTATCTTGTGTCTTTTGGCATTTGAAAACTTATAAAAGATTTTCACATATTTATCACATTGAAATATTGTTCTCTGGGTACTTGTCAAACTTTGGTTGAGTCCATTATAAACTGCTTTCTGCATATGACACTCATCCACACATTGACAGCCGTTATTTAACTGTAAATTGTCATGTTCAGATTTTATATATCTTCTCAGTATCATTTTTTGGAAAGAATCTTTAATCCCCTGCTCTGACCAAAGATCTTGGGCAAAATGAGAACACGTAACTAAAAGAAACAATAAAAACACATTACTTCAATTGCTAGACTCAGATAAGTACACTTTACAAATCTAACATTTAAAATTATACAAACTACACAAGTGAGATGTCATAGTATAATACTACAAGCTGTAATTTCTTCCTTGACGTATAAATGTAACAAACACATACTGACCAAAATCCATTTGTAAAATATTTATAAGTGTGTTAAGTTTGTGAAGGACCCCAGGTGAGCCCAGTGTAAAGAGCCACACAGAAGAAACAGAAAAGTATGTTTCTTACACCCAACACAGGTCCTCCTCCTCTTCAGTATAACACTGTGCCTTTAAAAGTAAATTGCGCCGGGCGCGGTGGCTCAAGCCTGTAATCCCAGCACTTTGGGAGGCCGAGACGGGTGGATCACGAGGTCGAGAGATCGAGACCATCCTGGTCAACAAGGTGAAACCCCGTCTCTACTAAAAATACAAAAATTAGCTGGGCATGGTGGCGCGTGCCTGTAATCCCAGCTAATCAGGAGGCTGGGGCAGGAGAATTGCCTGAACCCAGGAGGCGGAGGTTGCGGTGAGCCGAGATCGCACCATTGCACTCCAGCCTGGGTAACAAGAGCGAAACTCCATCTCAAAAAAAAAAAAAAGAAAAAAAGTAAATTCTGCTGGGCGTGGTGGCTCAAGCCTGTAATCCCAGCACTTTGGGAGGCCGAGGTGGGTGGATCACAAGGTCAAGAGATCGAGGCCATCCTGGTCAATATGGTGAAACCCCGTCTCTACTAAAAATACAAAAAAATTAGCTGGGGATGGTGGTGTATGCCTGTAATCCCAGCTACTCAGGAGGCTGAGGCAGGAGAATTGCCTGAACCCAGGAGGCGGCGGTTGCAGTGAGCCGAAATCGTGCCATTGCACTCCAGCCTGGGTTAACAAGAGGGAAACTTCATCTCAAAAAAAAAAAAAAATTAAATTGCCAGCTAGGTTTGGTGTTGCCTATCTGTAATCCTAGCACTTTGAGAAGGTGACAGGAATGGACAACCACGTGAGGAGTTGAAGATCAACCTGTCGAAGATGGTGAAACACCATCTGCAATAAAAATACAAAAAATTAGCTGGGCGTGGTTGTAGCACCTGTAATCGCAGCTACTCAGGAGGCTGAGGCAGAGAACGGCTGGAGCCTGGGAGGCAGAGGTTGCAGTGAGCTCAGATCATGCCACTGCACTCCAGCCTGGGTGACAGAGTGAGACTTTGTATTTAAAAAAAAAACAAAAAACAAAAACAAAACCAGTCAAAAACCAATAAAGTAAATTGTCAGAAAGGAATGCTGTTTTATGCCAATAATCTCAGCACATCGGATAAACAAGACATGAAGATTATGTGAAGTCAGGAGTTTGAGACCAGCTTGACCATCTGGGTGGAATCCCATGTCTAATAAGAATACAAAACGTTAACCAGGTATGGTAACAGGTACCTGTAATGCTAGCTATTTGGGAGACTGAGGCAAGAGAATTGCTTGAACTGTGGAGGCAAAGACTGTAATGAGCCAACATCATTTCACTGCACTTCAGTTTAGGTAACAGAGTGAGACTGTGTCACTCACACACATACAAAAATTTAAATTGCCAACTACTGGTTTCTTTTTTAAAAGAAAAAGAAATATATTGGCAGATAAACCTTTACTTCTCACTTCTAGGGGCCTTTGCAGACACTGCTTAATGTCTCCCATGATATAAAATGAATTTTCTAGGCTGGGCGCGGTGGCTCAAGCCTGTAATCCCAGCACTTTGGGAGGCCGAGACGGGTGGATCCCGAGGACGAGAGATCGAGACCATCCTGGTCAACAAGGTGAAACCCCGTCTCTACTAAAAATACAAAAAATTACCTGGGCATGGTGATGCGTGCCTGTAATCCCAGCTACTCAGGAGGCTGAGGCAGGAGAATTGCCTGAACCCAGGAGGCGGAGGTTGCAGTGAGCCGAGATCGCACCATTGCACTCCAGCCTGGGTAACTAGAGCAAAACTCCGTCTCAAAACAAAACAAAACAAAACAAAACCAAAAAAAATGAATTTTCTTATGTGTACTAAGGTTTGCAGATTGGGTAAAAGCTTTGCCACATTCTTCACATCTGTACGGTTTCTCTCCAGTATGAATTCTCTTATGTGCAGTAAGGCCTGAGGAGTGCATAAAGTCTTTGCCACATTATTCACATTTGTAGGGTTTCTCTCCAGTATGAATACTCTTATATGTAGAAAGGGTTGAGGAGTACACAAACTGTTTGCCATATTCTTCACATTTGTAGGGTTTCACTTCAGTATCAATTATCTTACGTGCACTAAGTGTTTCAGATTCCTTAAAAGCTTTGCCACATTGCTCACATTTATAGAGTTTCTCTCCAGTATGAATTCTCTCATGTGTAGTAAGGTAAAAAGACTTTTTAAGGGCTTTTTCCCATTCTTCCCATTTGTAGGGTTTCTCTGCGTGGCAACTCTTGCATATAATACCAACATTTTGGGAGGCTGAGGCAGCCAGATCACCTGAGGCCAGGACTTCAGGACCAGCCAGGCCAACATGGTGAAATGCTGTCATTACTAAAAAATAATTTGCCTGGCATGGTGGCGCATGGCTGTAGTCCCAGCTACTCAGGAGGCTGATGCAGGAGTATAGCTGGAACCCGGGAGGTGGAGGTTGCAATGGGTCTAGATGATGCCACTGCACTCCAGCCTAGGGGACAGAGTGAGACTTCATCCCAAGAGAAAAAAAGATAATAAACTATATTAATTATTTTGCATATAGAGGAATACTTGAGATGCATAATTGATAAATAAAAGAGGTTTCTTCAGGTCACAGTATGGCAGACTGTATAAGAAGTATGTGCCAGCATCTGCTTCTGGTGAGGATCTCAGGAAACTTACAATCATGATGGAAGGCAAAGAGTAACTGGACATATTATATATTAATAAATAGAGCCAAGTAGGAGGTGAAGAAGCCAGGTTCTTTTGGTGAACAAGCTCTCATTTAAATAAGCAGAGTTTAAACTTTTTGGTTACCAAGCGGACGTACCAAGCCATTCATGAGAAATCTGCTTTCATGACAGTAACATGTTCCACTAGGTCCCACATCCAGCATGAAAGATTTATATTGCAGTATGAGGGTTGGAGAACATGGACATCCAAACCATATTATAGACCAATTAGGCTTCACAGACACATACATGACTCTCCAGTCAAAACCGAGACAATACACAATAGTCTTTTTTTTTTTTTTTTTGAGACGGAGTCTCGTTCTTGTTACCCAGGCTGGAGTGCAATGGCGCGATCTCGGCTCACCGCAACCTCCGTCTCCTGGGTTCAGGCAATTCTCCTGCCTCAGCCTCCTGAGTAGCTGGGATTACAGGCACGCGCCACTATACCTAGCTAATTTTTTGTATTTTTAGTAGAGACGGGGTTTCACCATGTTGACTGGGATGGTCTCGATCTCTTGACCTCGTGATCCACCTGCCTCGGCCTCCCAAAGTGCTGGGATTACAGTCTTGAGCCACCGCGCCCGGCCTACACAATAGTCTTATTTACATCTGTTGTATCCTGTTAGGACAGAATTTTTACTAAATTTAAAATTTTTATTAAATTTAAAAATGCTGACTACCCTTGTCAACATAGTGAAATTGTAACACTACAAAAAAGTAAACAGGAGAGAGATCCAAGATGGCTGATCACTAGCAGCTCGGGATTGTAGCTCATAAAATCACAGAGAACGAGAGGATGCCACACTTTCAGACGAAGTTTTGTGGCTCACGCACCAGGGGGTTTCCAGAGAAGGAGCCCCACGGGTCGCCAGCACGACTCTTGTGGCCGGTGAGGCGGTTTTGCCGCTGCCTTGGTGCGGTGGTTGTTGTTGCTGAGTCAGAAAAGCACCATCAATCTTAACACTGCTGTTTTGACCAGCACGGCGCAGTGGGTTGCTCAGTTTTTAGCACTGGGAATCAACAAGTTGGATGTCCACTCAGAAACCCAACTATAAAGACGGTAATTATAAAGGCCACAGATGGATAAATTCATAACAAAGGGAAGAAACCAGCCTAAAAAGCCTCAGAATGAGGCCGGGCGCAGTGGCTCAAGCCTGTAATCCCAGCACTTTGGGAAGCCGAGGTGGGTGGATCACGAGGTCAAGAGATCAAGACCATCCTGGTGAACATGGTGAAACCCCGTCTCTACTAAAAATACAAAAAAATTAGCTGGGCATGGTGGCGCGTGCCTGTAATCCCAGCTACTCAGGAGGCTGAGGCAGGAGAATTGCCTGAATCCAGGAGGCAGAGGTTGTGGTGAGCCAACATTGCGCCATTGCACTCCATCCTGAGCAACAAGAGCGAAACTCCGTCTCAAAAAAAAAAAAAAAAAAAAAGAATACACAATTTAGAGAGGAATATAAGTGAATTAATGGAGCTGAAAAACACAACACGATAACTTCACGAAATATGCACAAGTTTTTTGTTTTTTTGTTTTTTTGAGACGGAGTTTCGCTCTTGTTACGCAGGCTGCAGTGCAATGGCGCGATCTCGGCTCACCGCAACCTCCGCCTCCTGGGTTCAGGCAATTCTCCTGCCTCAGCCTTCTGAGTAGCTGGGATTACAGGTACGCACCACCATGCCCAGCTAATTTTTTGTATTTTTAGGAGAGACGGGGTTTCACCATGTTGACCAGGATGGTCTCGATCTCTTGACCTCGTGATCCACCCATCTCAGCCTCCCAAAATGCAGGGATTACAGGCTTGAGCCACTGCGCCTGGCCCAGAAAAGAACTTTCAACCCAGAATTTTACATCCAGCCAAATTAAGCTTCATAAGCGAAGGAAAAATAAAATCCTTTGTGAACAAGCAAGCACTCAGAGATTTCATCACCACCAGGCCTGCTTTACAAGAGCTTCTGAAAGAACCACGACACATAGAAACGAACAACCAGTATAAGCCTTTCTAAAAAATACCAAAAAATAAAGAGCATCAACATAATCAAGAATTTACATCAACTAATGGGCAAAACAGCCAGCTAAAATTAAATGCCAGTATTAACCTCACATATATTATTATTAATTCTAAATTTAAATTGACTAAATTCCCCAATCCAAAGACACAGACAGGCCAAAAAAAAAAAAAAAAAGCAAAGACCCATCGGTATGCTACATCCTGACCCATCTCACATGCAAGGATACACAAAGACTCAAAGGGATGAAGAACGATTTACCAACCAAATGGAGAGCAAAAATAAATAAATAAACAGAAAGCAGGAGTTGCCATTTTTGCTGACAAAATAGACTTTAAAGCAACAAAGATTTAAAGAAGCAAAGAAGGATATTACATAATGATAAAAGGATCAATGTAACAAGAAGAGCTAAAGATCCTAAATATATATGCAGCCAATACAGGAATGCCCAGATATATAAGACTTATAAAGAGACTTAGACTCCCACACAATAATAGTGGGAGACTTCAACATCAATATTAGACACATCAATGAGACAGAAAGTTAACAACGATCTCTAGGACTTGAACTCAGATCTGGAACAAGTAGACTTAATTAACATTTATAGAAGTCTCCACTTTAAATACACAAAATATACACTCTTATCACGTCACACCTATTTACAGGTTTTTTTTTGGATACAGAGTTTCACTCTTGTTACCCAGGCTGGAGTGCAATGGCGCAATCTCGGCTCACCACAACCTCCGAATCCTGGGTTCAGGCAATTCTCCTGCCTCAGCCTCCTGAGTAGCTGGGATTACAGGCACACACCACCGTGCCCAGCTAATTTTTTGTATTTTTAGTATAGACGTGGTTTCACCGTGTTGACCAGGATGGGCTCGATCTCTTGACCTCGTGATCCATCCACCTCGGCCTCCCAAAGTGCTGGGATTACAGGCTTGAGCCACCAAGCCCAGCCTTTTTTTTTTTTTTTTTTTTTTTTTTTTTAAGATGGAGTTTCACCATGATGGCCAGGCGGGTCTTGAACTCCTGACCTCAGGTGCTCCATCCACCTCGGCCTCCCAAAGTGCTAGGATTACAGGCTTGAGCCACCACGCTGGCAAAATACTTTTAGTTTCTAAAAATTATGCCAATATTTGTGTGTCCCGAAAGAAATGGAAAAGCAGCCAGACTGTACAGTCTCTTATATGTCATAAGGAGGACTTTGGCTCTCACTGAGTCTAAATTAGTTCAAGAATTGCAAAAAGCAGTGTGGAGTGCTGGGTACTGTGGCTCAGGCCTGTAATTTCAGCGCTTTTGAAGGCTGAGGCAGGCGGATCCCCTGAGGTTGGGAGCTAGAGACCAGCCTGACCAATATGGAGAAGGAATGCCTTGAAGGAAGGAATACCTTGAAGGAAGCTAAAAAAAAATCAAAATCCTTAGGGAACATAAAAGCTAAGACAGAAAATATCTCTTTGTGAGACTAAAATTAAAAACAGCTGTCCAGAGCTATTTTCTTTGGAACACAGGTTCACACATCACATTTTAAGGGCTGGCTTTCTCTTTGACCTTGGGACTTCTTATCTGTGTCTTCCCTTGTATTCATTTTCACTGAGACCTACCAGGGGATGTGGCCATCATCTCATGAAGTTTACAGTCAAAGATTTTTTTTCTTGCTCAAGACAGGTGATCAGGTCTGGGTTAGAGACAACAATAACTGAATTAGTTAAAAATAAAAAACATGAGGCCGGGCGTGGTGGCTCATGCCTATACTCCTAGCACTTTGGAAGCTAAGATGGGTGGATCACCTGAGGTCAGGAGTTCAAGACCAGCCTGACCAACATCGTGAAACCCTATATTTAAAATAAAAATAAAAAACATGAATCTGGCTCATATTCTCCACTTACACGCTAGTAAGGTGCTCAGAGAGGATGTAATAAAATATTCTAGTAAATTAATACAAAAAAAAATTTAAAAAGAAAAACATTAATGCCAAAATACTAATTAATAATAGAAACTTACAAATATTTAGAAAATACTTTGAACTCATAGTTGTCCTTTCTTTTTTTTCTTTTTCTTTTTTTTCTTTTTAAGACGGTGTTTCACCATGTTGGTCAGGCTGGTCTTGAACTCCCGACCTCAGGTGATCCACCCGCCTCGGCCTCCAAAGTGCTTGGATTACAGGAGTGAGCCACCACACCTAGCCCATAGTTGTCTTTTCTTTTCAGAGGAAGTTTCGCTCTTGTAGCCCAGGCTGGAATACAATGGCGCAATCCTGGCTCACCACAAACTCTGTGTCTGGCTTCAGGCAATTTTCTGCCTCAGCCTCCAGTGTACTGGCATTAAAGGCGTGCATCACCATGCCTGGCTAATTCTGTATTTTAGGTAGAGATGAAGATTCACCACGTTGATCAGGATGGTCTCAAACTCCAGACACCTCAGGTGATCTGCCTGTTTTAGCCTCCAAAAGTGCTGGGATCACAGGCATGATCCACCGTGCTCAGCCCTGCTTGTAGGTTTTTAAATTTTACTACCTGGTACTACTGAATCAAATATTGGTGGCGGCAATTAGATTTTCAGGTGAGGGCAACAATCTTTTATGCCATTAAATTGCTGGAATTACCACTAATTTAGAGTGAAGGATACAGCTCAACGCAAGAATTTGGAAAGTTTGGATTAAGATGAAATATCTTGAAGAATTTCTTTTCTATGTCAATAAATTCTGAAGATATTCTGGAAAAAAGGCTTCTGAAACTTTTACGCACAGAATAAATTACTAAGAAACATCCTACAAAAAAATAAATACATAAATAAAACCATTAGGGTGTATTATGAATTGTGTATTCAAGTTATCCTTACCAAGGAAGACCAGGTTTCTGTAGTTCTCCAACATCACATCCCTATACAGATTCCGCTGTGCAGTGTCCAGGCAACGCCACTCCTCCAGAGAGAATTCTACGGCCACATCCCTAAACTCCAATGGTTCCTGAAAAACACACACACGCACACACATATTTCTACCAAGTGGCCATGTAGGGAATTTTTAATTTGACGTAAGACAATAATATGATAGATGCTTTTCAAAAGAAGACATACATGTGTCTAACAGCATATGAAAAAAAATGATCATCACTCATCATTAAAGGAATTTTAAAATAAAAAAAACAAATTGAAATACCACCTCACCAAGTCAGAACAGCTATTTTTACAAAGTCAAAAAATGGCCGGGCATGGTGGCTCACGTTTATAATCCAAGCACTTTGGAGGCCAAGGCAGGCGGATCACCTGAGGTCCAGAGTTCAAGAACAGCCTGACCAACATGGTGAAACACTGTCTTTAAAAAAAAAAAAAAAAAAAGTCAAAAAATAACAGATGCTCGCCGGGCGCGGTGGCTCAAGCCTGTAATCCCAGCACTTTGGGAGGCCGAGGCGGGTGGATCATGAGGTCGAGAGATCGAGACCATCCGGGTCAACATGGTGAAACCCCGTCTCTACTAAAAATACAAAAAATTAGCTGGGCATGGTGGCACGTGCCTGTAATCCCAGCTACTCAGGAGGCTGAGGCAGGAGAATTGCCTGAACCCAGGAGGCGGAGGTTGCGGTGAGCCGAGATCGCGCCATTGCACTCCAGCCTGGGCAACAAGGGCGAAACTCCGTCTCAAAAAAAATAAAAAATAAAAAAAAAAATAACAGATGCTGACAAGGTTGTAGAGAAAAAAGAATGCTTATACTCTGTTGCTGGGAGTCTAAATTAGCTCAAGAATTGCAAAAAGCAGTGTGGCGTGTTGGGTAATGTGGCTCATGCCTATAATTTCAGCATTTGGAAGGCTGAGGCAGAGGTTAGGGGCTCAAGATCAGCCTGACCAATATGGAAAAACCCCAACTTTATTAAAAATACAAAATTAGCTGTGGGGTGGCAGCATATGCCTGTCTTCCCAGCTAATCTGGAGGCTAGGGCAGGAGAATTTCTTGAACCTCTGAGGCGGAGGCTGCGGTGAGCCGATATTGTGCCACTGCACTCCAGCCTGGGCAACAAGAGTAAAACTGAGTCTCAAAACACACACACACACACACACAACAAAAACAACAAAAAAGCAGTATAGCGATTCCTGATAGAACTAAAAACAGAATTGTCATTTGACATGGGAAGCTCATAATTTTGTACATAACCAAAGAAACACACATTATTTCATATAAAGACATATCCACATGCATTTTCATTGCAGCACTATTCACAGTAGCAAAGACGTGGACAGGCCCTAAATGTCTATCAATGGTAGACTGAATGAAGAAAATATGGTATGGTCAGATGTGATGGGTCATGCCCGGAATCCCAGCAGTTTGGGAGGCTGACGCAGGTGGATTGCCTGAGCTTAGAATTTTGAGACCAGCCTAGGCAACATGACAAAATCCTCCTGTCTTCACAAAAAAAACAAAAAACAAAACAAAACAAAAAACTGGCCAGGCATAGTAATGCACACATGTGGACCCAGTTACTTGGGATAATGAAGTAGGAGAGAATTGCTTGAGCCTGGGAGGCTGAATCTAAAGTAACCAATATCATGCCACAGTACCCTAGCCTGGACAGTAAGTGACACACTGTCTCCAAAATTAAAATGAAAGATTTAGTAAAGAAAAAAATATGGTCCATAAACATCACTAAATACTCTATGGCCATTAAAAAAATAATAATAATGTCTTTTGCAATAACATCAATGAAGCTGGTGACCATTATTAGAAAACTAGGCCAAGCACGGTGGTTCACACCTGTAATTCCTGCACTTTGGGAGGCACGGCGGGTGGATCACGATGTCAAGAGATCATCATCCTGGTCAACATGGTGAAACCTTGTCTCTATTAAAAATACAAAAATAGCCGGGCACGGTGGCTCAAGCCTGTAATCCCAGCACTTTGGGAGGCCGAGGCGGGTGGATCACGAGGTCGAGAGATCGAGACCATCCTGGTCAACGTGGTGAAACCCCGTCTCTACTAAAAATACAAAAAATTAGCTGGGCATGGTGGCGCGTGCCTGTAATCCCAGCTACTCAGGAGGCTGAGGCAGGAGAATTGCTTGAACCCAGGAGGCGGAGGTTGCGGTGAGCCGAGATCGTGCCATTGCACTCCAGCCTGGGTAACAAGAGCGACACTCTGTCTCCAAAAAATAAAAAAATTAAAAAAATAAAAAATAAAAAATACAAAAATACAAAAAATAGCTGGGCATGGTGCCCGCCTGTAGTCCCAGCTACTCAGAAGGCTGAGGCAGGAGAACTGCCTGAACCCAGAAGGCGGAGGTTTCGGTGAGCCGAGATCGCGCCATTGTACTCCAGCCTGGGTAACAATAGTGACACTCCGTCTCAAAAAAGAAAAAAAGAAAAGAAAAGAAAACTAATGCAGAGCACAGGCACCAGTGTCTCATGCCTGTAATCCCAGGAATCTGGGATGCCAAGGCATGTGGATCACCAGAGGTCGGAAGTTTAAGACCAACCTGACCAACATGGAGAAACTCCATCTCTAGTAAAAATACAAAATTAGGCTGGGTGCAGTGGCTCATGCCTGTGATTCCACCACTTTCGGAGGCTGAGGCGGGCGCATCACCTGAGGTCGGGAGTTTGAGACCAGCCTGACCAATATGGACAAACCCCTTCCGTAGTAAAAATACAAAATTGGACCGGGTGCAGTGGCTCATGCCTATAATCCCAACATTTTGGGAAGATCCACCGAGCTGGATGGATCACCCGAAGTCAGAAGTTTGATACCAGCCTGACCAACATGGAGTAACCCCATCTCTACTAAAAATAAAAAAAATTAGTTGGGTGTGGTGGTGCCTGTCTGTAATCCCAGCTGCTTGGGAGGCTGAGGAAAGAGAATCACTTCAACCTGAAAAACAGAAGTTGCCGTGAGTCAAGATCGCGACATTGAACTCCAGCCTGGGCAATAAGAATGAAACTCCACCTCAAAAAAATAAATTAAAGCCGGGCGCGGTGGCTCAAGCCTGTAATCCCAGCACTTTGGGAGGCTGAGGCGGGTGGATCACGAGGTCGAGAGATCGAGACCATCCTGGTCAACATGGTGAAACCCCGTCTCTACTAAAGATACAAAAAATTAGCTGGGCATGGTGGCACGTGCCTGTAATCCCAGCTACTCAGGAGGCTGAGGCAGGAGAATTGCCTGAACCCAGGAGGCGGAGGTTGCGGTGAGCCGAGATCGCGCCATTGCACTCCAGCCTGGGTAACAAGAGCGAAACTCCGTCTCAAAAAAAATTAATTAATTAATTAATTAATTAATAAACCTAAATAGATAAATAAGTAAAAGTCCAAAATTAACCAAGGGTGGTAATCTCAGCTACTCAAGATTCCGAGGCTGGACAATTTCTTGAACCCAGAGGGCGGAGGCTGCGGTGAGCCGAAATTCCAGGATTGCACTCCAGCCTTGGGCAAAAACAGCACAACTCCATCTCAAAACAAAACAAAGCAAAACTAAGAAAACTAATGCAGAAACAGACAACTAGATGGATGTTATTATTTATCAGCGCTAAATAATAAAAACACAGGAACACACAAAGAGAAGAACAGACACTGAGGCCTAGTTGAGGGTGGAGGGTGTGAGGACTAAGAGGATCAGAAAACATACCTGTTTGGTGCTATGAGTAGTACCTCGGTGACAAGATAATCTGCACACCAAACCCCCATGACATGATTTTAGCTGAATAAAAAACCCACATGTTGGCCGGGCGCGGTGACTCAAGCCTGTAATCCCAGCACTTTGGGAGGCCGAGGTGGGTGGATCACGAGGTCAAGAGATAGAGACCATCCTGGTCAACAAGGTGAAACCCCGTCTCTACTAAAAATACAAAAAATTAGCTGGGCATGGTGGTGCGTGCCTGTAATCCCAGCTACTCAGGAGGCTGAAGCAGGAGAATTGCCTGAGCCCAGGAGGCGGAGGTTGCGGTGAGCCGAGATCGCGCCATTGCACTCCAGCCTGGGTAACAGGAGCGAAACTCCGTCTCAAAAAAAAAAAAAAACAAAACCCACATGTGTACCCCGAACCAAAAATAAAACTACAAGAAAAAATATTCCTGGGTGTTAAGAGAGTGAATGTAGGTGAAAGGACTGATTTTTGCCACAGATAGTGGGCCAGGTGGGGCTGTTCTCTGATTTATTTGTTTGCCTGCAGGCAGATGAGATTATGAACAGGAAGTCTAGAACCTTAGGTTGATGGGGAAAAGAGCTTGCTGCTGCAGATTCAGCGTCTGAAGGTGGGGATATGCCAGGAGACATGAAGACACTTGCGGGTTCTTGTTAAGAAACACTATGATTGAGGCTGGGCGCGGTGGCTCAAGCCTGTAATCCCAGCACTTTAGGAGGCCGAGGCGAGGTCAAGAGATCGAGACCATCCTGGTCAACATGGTGAAACCCCATCTCTACTAAAAATACAAAAAATTAGCTGGGTATGGTGGCACGTGCCTGTAATCCCAGCTACTTAGGAGGCTGAGGCAGGAGAATTGCCTGAACCCAGGAGGCGGAGGTTGCGGTGAGCCGAGATCGCGCCATTGCACTCCAGCCTGGGTAACAAGAGCGAAACTCCGTCTCAAAAAAAAAAAAAAAAAAAAAAAAAAGAAACACTATGATCAAAAAGTCCTGAAGATGAAGTTCCTGAAGATGGTGCCTAGTCCTAGGAGGACTGTGGACACGTCAATGGCTGCTGTGTGTGTTTGTGAGTGGGAATTCTTTGGTGGCTGCAAGAAAAAGGGGTCTGTTATCTTATAGTTAGTTGGTACTTCCTCCTGTTACAATACTTTTTTTAATTCATTTTTTTTTACATAATCCTAATATTTTTATTTTACAAAATCTAAAAAGTGCCTCAAAACAATAACAACTTCATCATCAGTAAAACCCTCCCAGTTTCCTTTCATATTAATCTTAACTTCATCTGCCTGTGGGGCCCCAGCTTTCCAAAGCTCTGTAGCTTCTCTCAGAATAAAGGCTCCTTCCATGACTGGGATGAGCTGGGACAACTGTAAGGGAGGCTCCCCAGAATAAATTAAAATTAACTGAGGCTTTAATAACCTCTTTTTGGCCGGTTGCAGTGGCTCAAGCCTGTAATCCCAGCACTTTGGGAGGGGGAGGCAGGCGGGTTACCTGAGGCCGGGAGTTTGAGACCAGTCTGACCAACATGAAGAAACCCTGTCTTTACTAAAAGCACAAAATTGGTCAGGCGTGATGGCGCATGCCTTGAATTTTAGGTACTCGGGAGGCTGAGGCAGGAAAATCACTTGAACCCGAAAGGCAAAGGTTGCATTTTTGTACTTTTAGTAGAGACGGCGTTTCACCATGTTGGCCAAGGCTGGTCTAGAACTCCTGACCTTGTGATTTGCCTGCCTCAGCCTTCCAAAGTACTGGGAGAGGTGTCAGCCATCGCGCTCAGCCAGCAAGGTTTTTTGTTTGTTTGTTTTTGAGACTGTGTCTCTCTGTCACCAGGCGACAGGCTGGAGTGTAGTGGCACGATCTTGGCTCACTGTAACCTCCGCCTCCTGGGTTCAAGCAATTCTCCTGCCTCAGCCTCCCGAAATAGCTGAGACTACAGGTACACGCCACCATGCCCAGCTAATTATGTTTTTCTTTTTTTCTTTTAGTAGAGACGGGGTTTCACCATGTTGACCAGGATGTTCTCGATCTCTTGATCTCATAATCCCCCTGCCTCGGCCTCCCAAAGTGCCCGACAGCAAGGGTTTTTTAACCCTAACAAAGTTCCTTTTTTTCGTTCTTCCCCTATTGGCTGGGGTTGGACAGCACAATCTAAACTGATCCGGGTTGGCTTAGACTCAAACGTTTTTCAAATAGGGTAAAAGCGCAATTTCGCGACAAATGGAGAAAGGGGGAAAAGGGGTAGGGTTGATTTGCAACGTTTACAACTTATGACCTGGAAGTTGAGTCTCTGAAGAGGAATTTAGTTCACCTCACAACTCCTGACTGTAAGGTCTGACTGAGCCATGAACAGCATGGTAATCTCTGCGACCTGCAGGTACACCCCAGATGTGTTCCTGGAAGAAAGGATCAACCCCTGTGGAGCTTAACTAAACAGAGACATTCTTCTATTCTTATTCTGGCCTCAAATGAGAAGGCCATTGGACTTTGTATCCGAGCTTAGAAAAACTGGTGACTCCACCCCTACGACCCCGTCCCAGCTTGCAAATCGACACCCCTTTCCAGCTTGCAAACAACAGCCAACTGAAACGTCTGTAACTTGCCACTGCCCATCCCAAACCTATAAACCCAACTCCTACCCCACAGCCTGACCCTGACTCCATTTTCAGCCTCGGCCCGCCTGCACCCAGGTGAATACACAGCCTTGTTGCTCACGCAAAGCCTGTTTGGGAGTCTCTTCATTCAGCGCGCGCGTTTTAACACTGACCTCAACTGATCTGCTGGCCTCGGCCATCCAAAATGCTGGCATTACAGGCGCGAGCCACCATGCCAGGCCCCATAACTTTTTAATAGGAGAAAAGTGAAACGGTGAACCCCCAGGACCAAAGCTCTTCCCATGCATGAACTCCCACCTCGAGCCAGAACTCCGCCCTGAGCGCCCTTCTGGGGTCCCTGCACAACCTGGGAGAAACGCGGCGCTGACGGCGCCGAGCTGCCGGGAGAGGGCTCCAGGCACCTGCCTGTCGGCGCAGCCGCCATCTTAGGGCTGAAGGCGACAGAGGCCGAGCTGGGCAAGAACTCCCGCAGATCGTGGAGCCGACCGCGGGGAGGCCTGAGTCTCAGCACAGCCGCTTCCCGCCAGTTTCAACCAGTCCCTCCCCTCTCTCCGGATGTCGGAAAGGCACTCTCACCATCTCTAAGCTTCCAGGGGGTTCCTGCCTTTTAGCTGTGGATCTCCCAACGACTGAAGATCACAGGGCCACAGAGGATAGGCCTCTAGGAAGCGAGGACACAGCAGCGAAGATGAGACGTGGAGCTTTCACGGCAGCAGGAGAAAAACGCCCGCCAAACCCGAAAGCCGCCCTCTTTGCTCCAGCTACGTGCGGGGTTGAACAGTTTCCAACCCAACGTCCCTGATTGGCTAATGCTTAAGGCCCCGCCCCCTCAGGCCCTGAGTGACAGAAGATATGATCCAACTCTGGGAGAAGTGAAACAGCCAAAACTGCAGCTTTTTTTTTTTTTTTTTGAGACGGAGTTTCGCTCTTGTTACCCAGGCTGGAGTGCAATGGCGCGATCTCGGCTCACCGCAACCTCCGCCTCCCGGGCTCAGGCAATTCTCCTGCCTCAGCCTCCTAAAACTGCAGCTTTTCAGGCAGAGCTTCCTGCCTGAGTTGAGCGGGGTGGGGCATATGCCTGTAATCCCAGCTACTTGGGAGTCTGACACAGGAGAATAGCTTGAACCCAGAAGTGGAAGGTTACAGTGAGTGGAGATGATAGCACTACACTCCAGCCTGGGCAACAGAGCAAGGCTGTCTCAAAAATAAAATAAGGACGGGTGAGGTGGCTCAAGCCTGTAATCCCAGCACTTTGGGAGGCTGAGGTGGGCAGATCACAAGGTCAAGAGATCGAGACTATCCTGGCCAACATGGTGAAACCCCGTCTCTACTAAAAATACAAAAAAAAAAAAAATTAGCTAGGCGTGGTGGCGCGTGCCTGTAGTCCCAGCTACTTGGGAGGCTGAGGCAGGAGAATTGCTTGAACCCAGGAGGCGGAGGTTGCAGTGAGCCGAGATTGTGCCACTGCACTCCAGCCTAGCGCCTGGCGACAGAGTGAAACTCTGTCTCAAAAATAAATAAACAAATAAATAAATAAAATAAAATAAAATAGGCCAGGTGTGGTATCGCAGCACTTTGGAAGGCTGAAGTGGGTGGATCAGTTGAGTACTGAAGTTCAGTATCAGCCTGGCCGACATGGTGAAACCCATCTCTACTAAAAATACTAAAAATTGGCCAGGCATGATGGCAGGCACCTGTAGTTCCAGCTACTCGGGAGGCTGAGGCAAGAGAATCATTTGAACCCGAGAGGTGGAGGTTGCCGTAAACCAAGATCGTACCATTGCATCCCAGCCTGGGTGACAGAGAGAAACAAGCGGTGGCTGACGCCTGTAATCCTAGCACTTTGGGAGGCTGAGGTGGGTGGATCACCTGAGGTCAGGAGTTCAAGACCAGCCTGGCCATCATGAAGAAACCCCATCTTACAGGAAAAAAAAAAAAAAAAAAAGAAAAGGAATTAATTAATTTAATTGAATAATTTTCAGTAAGTGAAGTAGAAACACAGACAACTACTGGAAATCAGAAAAATGAGGATAACAGCAAAAAATATTAAAATAGCAAAAAACAAAATTGTAGATGCAAAAATAACTGAAAAGTTTCTTAAAAGGAAAAATGATGTAAACATGTAGAAGCTGAACAAAGAAACTAGGATACAATCAATGATATTTGTAATAAACACATAAGTAAAATTGCAAAAATCACAGAAGAGAATTTGGGGAGCTGCAAGATAAAAATGATGTGTCATATATAAGCATAGCCTCATGAGATAACCAGTGAATTTGTGAAAATAAATTTTTGCAGGTCAGAAGGTATTGGGGGAAGCAGCAAAGAAAAAAGGAATTACAGAGTGCCTACATAAATTGATTATGAGTAACATATGAACTGGGAACAACAAACTGTGGGAGGCCTCTGGGGAGGCAAACTTCTCCATGCCTCATGTTCCAGTGCAGGGTGACCTAGGCTATGTTATCATAAATATTGTGCTCAAATAGTGTGAGAGATCGGAGTTGGGGGCCTTCGCTGTCTCCAGTAAAAAGGGATGACCCCTGGTCCCACTCTTTGTACTCTTAATCTGTCTTTTTCTTATCTCTTTGTCGCCACTAAACCTGGGGTACCCACAGGTGATGCAGGGGCTCGTTCCCTACAGAAGAAAACTGTTTGATATTGTTAAAGTTACAAGAAAATAAAAAAGCTGTCAAGTGAGAATAATACCATCAGGAAAATGGCACTACCAAATAAAAAGAAGTCCTTCCAAAATAACAAAATTCTGAGGAAGTATATTGGTATTGCATATGCCCTGCATATCAAAGATGCTGAATGAGGCTGGGCACAGTGGCTCATGCTTGTAATCCTAGCACTTTGGGAGGACGAGTCAGGTGGATCACCTGAGGCCGGCAGTTCGAGATCAGCCTGACCAACATGGAGAAACTCCGTCTCTACTAAAAATACAAAATTAGCTCAGCGTGGTGGCATGCGCTTGTAATCTCAGCTACTCTAGAGGCTGAGACAGGAGAATCACTTGAACCAGGGAGGTGGATGTTGCAGTGAGCCAAGATCGCACCATTACACTTCAGCCTGGGCAACACAAGCTAAATTCTGTCTCAAAAAAACAAAAAAATAAGAAAGAAAGAAAAAAGAAGATGCTGAATGGAGTTTATTCCACTGAAAAAGTACATTTCACTTTTCCTCCTTAACTGGAGAACCCTATATAAGCTTATTTTTCTTTAGTGATTGTTACTGTTTACCGTATTTTTATCACTGACATAATTAAGTTTATTGACTTTATTGGGCCAAGTCGTTCAGATGAACAATGTGAATCCTTCATAAATCATGAAGTTGTTTTGACACATTAAAGAAATAAACAATTACAGGCTGGTGCTTGTTATATAATAGAACCTTCATGATTACTGTAAATATTTGTTTTAGTGATTCTTTGACTCCAGGTTAGAGGATCTAAAATATTCAGGGTGAGACTGTCTGCTCTTCCTGTTTGACAGACAGCTTCATCTTGTCTTATATTGTCAGCTGCATCCTTGAGACACCATGGGGAAGGTGAAGGTTGGAGTCAAAGGGTTTATCATCTCTGCCCCCTCTGCTGATGCCCTCAGGTTCGTGATGGGCGTGAACCATGAGAAGTATGACAACAGCCTCAAGATCATCACCAATGCCTCCCGCACCACCCAATGCTTAGCGCCCCTGGCAAACGTCATCCATGACAACTTTGGTATTGAGGAAGGACTCAAGACACAGTCCAAGTCATCACTGCCACCTAGAAGACTGGGGATGGACCCTCTGGGGCTCTCCAGAACATCATCCCTGCCTCTACTGGTGCTGCCAAGACCATGGGCAAAGTCATCCCTTAGCTGAACGAGAAGCTCACTGGCATGGCCTAACGTGTCCCCACTGCCAACGTATCAGTGGTGGACCTGACCTGCGGTCTGGAAAAGCCTGCCAAATATGATGACATCAAGGTGGTGAAGCAGGCTTTGAAGGACCCGTCAAGGGCACCCTGGGCTACACTGAGCACCAGTTGGTATCCTCTGACTTCAACAGCGACACTCACTCTCCCACCTTTGATGCTGGTGCTGGCATTATCCTCAATGACCACTTTTCAAGCTCAGTTCCTGGTATGACAATGAATTTGGCTACGGTGTGGTGAACCTCCATTCCCACATGGCCTAAAGGAGTAAGATCCCTGGACCACCAGCCCCTGAGAGAGCACAAGAAAGAAAGGCCCTCACTGCTGTAGAGTCCCTGCCACACTGAGTCCCCCATCGCACTGAATCACCCCTCCTCATAGTTTCATGCAGACCCCTTGAAGAGAGAGGGGCCTAGGGAGTCCCACCTTGTCATGTACCATCAATAAAGTCCCCTGTGCTCAAAAAGAAAATATTCAGGATGGGACAATAGCATCAGTTCTTAACATGGAGAAAACACTTGAACTCAGGCTGCATAGCTGACTCTCTCTGAATTTAGAAAGGAATTCTGCTTTTATTTTTAGAAGTTTCCCAGTTTCTCTCTGTCTCTATGTTCATCAACAGCTGCACAAGCTTCCCAGCCCCACCCCTTTGCCTGTATTGTGGCTACAGCTTTCTCACTGTCCAAGCCACCCTATGTCACTTTACACAGTACTTTCTAAAACCCGATGGAAAGTTTGAAACATTTTTTTTTAGATGGACTCTTGCTCTATCACCAGGCTGCAATCTTGGCTCACTGAAACCTCTGCTTCCTGGGTTCAAACAATTCTCCCGCCTCAGCCTTCTGTATAGCTGGGACTACAGGCATGTGCCACCATGACCAGCTAATTTTTGTATTTTTAGAAGAGACCAGGTTTCTCCATGATGGCCAGGATGGTCTCAATCTCTTGAACTCCTGATCCACCAACCTCAGCCTCCCAAAGTGTTGGGATTACAAGTGTGAGCCACTGCACCCTGCCAAAATTTTTTAATGTGGTGAAAATTGTTAACCGGAGAGTTTTAGGCTATTTATAGGTTATAAATAAAACATTTTCATCACTTCATTGAGACAAGAGCGACACCCTGTTAATGGGCCAGAGGATTAAATTAGACAACTAGCATGAGTACCTAGTTTACCCTAATTCTGTCTTTGCTATGGTGAATACTGCTGCAATAAACATCTCAGTGCCAGTGTCTTTTTGGTAATATACTTTCTTTTCCTTTGAGTATATAGCCATTAATGGGACTGATGAACCAAATGGCAATTCTACTTTCAGTTATTTGAGAAATCTCCAAACTGTGTTCTACAGGGGCTACATTAATTTGCATTTAAACCGAGAGTGTATAAAGATTGTCTTTTCTCCACAACCTTACCATGTTTTCATTTTTGTTACATTTAGGTTTTTTTTTTTTTCTGTCTTGTTTTGTTTAGTTTTGGGGAGGAGTTTCTTGTCACCCATGCTGGAGTGCAACCTCCACCTGCCAGGTTCAAGCAATTTTCCTGCCTCAGCCTCCCAAGTAGCTAAAACTATGGGAGCGTGCCACCACACCCAGCTGTTTCATATTTTTAGGTTTATAAGCCATATAAGATATCACAGTAATCAATTCAATACAAAGCAAAAAGTATACCTTTGTTTTCAGCGTTTTTGACGTTTTCAGTTTTCTAGTGAATTAGTTACCTTCCTATTATTTTTTGAGATGGGGTATTGCTCTTTCACCCAGGCTGGAGTACAGTGGCATGATCTCAGTTCACTGCAACCTCCACCTCTCAGGTTCAAGCAATTCTCCTGTCTGAGCCTCCTGAGTAGCTGGGACTCCAGGTTTCTGCCACCACACCTGGCTAATTTTTGTGTTTTTAGTAGAGATGGGGTTTCACCATTGTGTTTAGGCTGGTCTCAAACTCCTAACCTCAGGTGAACCACCGCACCCAGCCAATTCGTTACCTTCTTCTGATGATTTGTTTTGTTCCGATATTGTTCTTTTCCTCTAAAAATAGGTACAAATTCATATTCACAAAAACACACATATTTACAATTTTCTTACCCGAGTGTTATCTTTAGAGTAATATATGTATATATTTACCTCTATGTAAATAAAAATTAAGAATCTGGTTTGCAGGCAGAGACCACATGTTTAAGGAAAAATATGAATAAATTTTAAACTGTTTATTCAAAATTCAGAAATGTAAAGATTTTAATACTGCTAATTATTATTATGACCATGAAATGACCCTGTAATCAATAACAATTAATTGCACACTTCAAAATACCTAGATGTATACATTTGTCATGCAAAGGATAAATGCTGGAGGTGATCTATACTTCGCTTATCCTTATGTGATAATTACATATTGTATGACTGTACCAAAACATCCTATATATGGCATATATACACATACTATGCACCCACAAAAGTAAGTTTATTAAAAATTTCACTCCCTAGAATAATATATATATTTTTTTTTTTTTGAGATGGAGTTTCACTCTTGGTACCCAGGCTGGAGTGCAATGGTGCAATCTGGGCTCACCGCTACTTCCGCCTCCTGGGTTCAGGCAGTTCTCCTGCCTCAGCCTCCTGAGTAGCTGGGATTACAGGCATGCACCACCATGCCCAGCTAATTTTTTATATTTTTAGTAGAGACGGGGTTTCACTATGTTGACCAGGATGGTCTCGATCTCTTGACCTCGTGATCCACCTGCCTCGGCCTCCCAAAGTGCTGGGATTACAGGCGTGAGCCACTGCACCTGGCCTTTTCTTTCTTTCTTTTTTTTTTTTAAATGAAGTCTTGCTCTGTAGTTCAGGCTAGAGTACAGTGGTACAATCTCAGTTCACTTCAACTTCCACCTTTCATGTTCAAGTGATTCTCCTGCTTCAGCCTCCTGAGCAGCTGGGATTACAGGTGCATGCCACAGCACACAGCTTATTTTTTATATCTGTAGTATAGATGAGGTTTCACTATTTTGGCAAGGCTGTTCTCAAAGTCCTGACCTTATGATCCCCCCACTTCAGCCTCCCAAAGTTTTGGGATTACAGGCATGAGATACTGCTCCTATTCTAATGTTCTAATTCTTTAATTGAAAAGGTCATAAATAATGCCCCCAATTAAAAAAAAATTTTATCTTTGATGTTGCAACAATTGATCACATGCTTTCATATGTGAATAGAATAGCAATAAAGAAGAAAGAGAATGAAATAATTTGGGAGTTGAATTACATCATTCTTTGGTTTTCCAAAAACAAGTTTGTTTGTTTTTTTTAAAGACGGAGTTTTCGCTCTTGTTACCCAGGCTGGAGTGCAATGGCGCGATCTCGGCTCACGGCAACCTCCGCCTCCTGGGTTCAGGCAATTCTCCTGCCTCAGCCTCCTGAGTAGCTGGGATTATAGGCACGCGCCATCATGCCCAGCTAATGTTTTGTATTTTTAGTAGAGACGGGGTTTCACCATGTTGACCAGAATGGTCTCGATCTCTCGACCTCGTGATCCACCCGCCTCGGCCTCCCAAAGTGCTGGGATTACAGGCTTGAGCCACCGCGCCCGGCTAAGCTTTGTCACATTCTTCACATTCATAGGGTTTTTCTCCAGTATGAATTTTCTTATATTCAGTAACACTTGAGAATTGGTTAAAAGCCTTGCCACATTCTTTACATTTGTAGGATTTCTCTCAAGTATGAATTATCTTATGGCTAGCAAAGGTTGAAGATTGGTTAAAAATTTTGCCACATTTCTCATATTCATAGGGTTTCTCCCCTGTATGAATTTTCTTATGTTTAATAAGCTTTGAAGACTGGTTCACATTTGTAAGATTTCTCTTCAGTATGAATTTTCTTATGGGCAGTAAGGTTGGAGGACCATTTAAAGCCTTTGCCACATTCTTCACATTTGTAAGGTCTCTCTCCAGTATGAATTGTCTTATGAGTAGTAAGAGTTGAGGACCGGTTAAAGGCTTTGCCACATTCTTCACATTTATAAGGTTTCTCACCAGTATGAATTTTCTTATGACTAGCAACGCCTGAGTACAGGTTAAAGGCTTTCCCACATTCTTCACATTTGTAAGCTTTCTCTCCAATATGAATTTTCTTATGAGTAGTAAGGGTTGAGGAGTGCTTAAAGGCTTTGCCACATTCTTCACATTTATAAGGTTTCTCTCCAGTATGTATTTTCTTATGAGTACAAAGTGTTGAGGACTGGGTAAAGGCTTTGCCACATTCTTCACATTTGTAGGCTTTCTCTCCAGTGTGTATTTTCTTATGAGTAGCAAGTGTTGAGGACTGGTTAAAGGCCTTGCCACATTCTTCACATTTGTAAGCTTTCTCTCCAGTATGAATTTCTTTATGAACAGTAAGGTGTCTGGACTGGTTAAAGGCTTTGCCACATTCTTCACATTTGTAAGCTTTCTCTCCAGTATGAATTTTCTTATGAGTAGTAAGTGTTGAGGATCGGGAAAAGGCTTTGCCACATTCTCCACATTTGTAACATTTCTCTTCAGTATGAATTTCCTTATGTTCAGTAAGTTTTGAGGATCGGATAAAAGCTTTGCCACATTCCTCACATTCGTAGGGTTTCTTTCCAGTGTGAATTTTCTTATGAGCAATAAGGTTGGAGGACCATTTAAAACCTTTGCCACATTCTTCACATTTGTAGGGTTTCTCTCTGGTATGAATTTTCTTATGGGTATTAAGGCTGGAGGACCATTTAAAACATTTGTCACATTCTTTACATTTGTGGGCTTTCTCTTGTGTATGAATTTTCCTATGTTTAATAAGGTGTGAGGACTGCTTAAAGGCTTTGCCACATTCTTGACATTTGTAAGGTTTCTCTCCAGTATGAATTTTCTTGTGATTAGTAAGGTTTATGGAATGGATAAAAGCTTTGCCACATTCTTCACATTCATAGGGTTTCTCTCCAGTATGAATTTTCTTATGGGTAGCAAGGTTGGAGGACCATTTAAAACCTTTGCCACATTCTTCACATTTGTAACATTTCTCTTCAGAATGAATTTTCTTATGTTTAGAAAGGTTGGAGGACCATTTAAAACCTTTGCCACATTCTTCACATTTGTAGGGTTTTTCTCCCGTATGAATTCTCTTATGTTGAGTAAGGGTCGAGGGCAAGTTAAAGGCTTTTTCGCATTCTTCACATTTGTAGAAATTTACTCTAGTATGAATTCTGCTATGTTGAGTTAGGTATGAAATCATGCCAAATGATTTGCCACATTCTTTGCATTTGAAAGGTTTCTTTTTAGTATGTTTTATCTTACGTCTGTTTGAATTTGAAAACTTATGAAAGACTTTCACATATTTATCACATTGAAATACTTTGCTCTGGGTAGTTCTCAAATATTGGTTGAGTCCACTATCACCTCCTTTTTGCACCTTAAACTCACACACACTTTTACAGCCTTTTGTTAATGGTAAGTTCTCAGGTCTACATTTTCTGTATCTTTCCAGTGTCACTTTTTGGAAAGAATCTTTTATATTCTTCCCTGGCCAAAGGTCTCGGGCAAAATGAGAACGCATAACTGAAACAAATAAAAATAAAAAATTATTGCACTTGTGAGACTTAGATAAAGAGACTTTACAAATATAACCTATACAATTAAGCAAACTACATCAGTTAGATGACATAGCAAAATTCCACAGGCCTGAAATCCTTCATAGATATATAAATGTTACAAATCACACTGACTAAAATACATTTCTGAAAAAAAAAATTTTTATTTTTTGAGATGCAGTTTCGCTCTTGTTACCCAGGCTGGAGTGCAATGGCGTGATCTTGGCTCACCGCAACCACCACCTCCTGGGTTCAGGCAATTCTCCTGCCTCAGCCTCCTGAGTAGCTGGGATTACAGGCACGCGCCACCATGCCCAGCTAATTTTTTGTATTTTTAGTAGAGACGAGGTTTCACCATGTTGACCAGGATGGTCTCGATGTCTTGACCTCGTGATCCACCTGCCTCGGCCTCCCAAAGTGCTGGGATTACAGGCATGAGCCACCACGCCCGGCCCTCTGGTAATTTTTAAAATGAATTAAGTGTGTAACATTCTCCAGGTGAGCACAATGCAAGGAGCCACATAGAAAACAAAACAAAGCAGAAGTTTGTTATATTACTCAGTGCAGCTCTTTCTGCTGCCTATATGTACCACAGTACCTTTAGAAGTAAACTACCAGGCTGGGCACGGTGGCTCATGCCTAGAATCCCAGCACTTTGGGAGGCCGGGGCAGGTGGATCATGTCAGTTGTTTGAGACTAGCCTGGCTAACATGTGAAACCTAATCTCCATTAGAAAGACAAAATTTAGCCCAGCACGGTGGTGTGCACCTGTAATCCCAGCTAGTTGGGACGCTGAGGTAAGAGAATCGCTTCAACCTAGGAGGCAGAGGTTGCAGTGAGCCGATATTGTGCCACTGCACTTCAGCCTGGGTGACAGAGCATTTTTTGCATAACAATGTGAGTGATATATGGAACTTATTTTTTGAGACAGGGTCTCACTATGTCACCCAAGCTGGAGTGCAGTAGCACAATTACTGTTGACTGTAGCCTGAAATTTCCAGGCTCCAGTAATCCTCTTTTCTCAATCTCCCAAAGAGCTAAGTCCACAGGTTTACAGCAAAATGCCAGGCTATATTAAAGAAATTTTTGTAGAGAAGGAATCTCCATGTGTTGCCCAGACTGCTCTGAAACCTTTGGATCAAGTGATCCTCCTGCCATGGCTTCCCAAAATCTCTGAAATTACAGATGTGAGCCACAAACATGCCTGACCCTGTAATGTACACTTCAATAGATTTAAGCTGGCAAATACTATATTACGTTTGGAAACAATTTTTTTTTTTTTTTTGCTGAGATGGAGTTTCGTTCTTGTTACCCAGGCTGGAGTGCAATGGCGCGATCTCGGCTCACTGCAACCTCCGCCTCCTGGGTTCAGGCAATTCTCCTGCCTCAGCCTCCTGAGTAGCTGGGATTACAGGCACACGCCACCATGCCCAGCTAATTTTTTGTATTTTTTAGTAGAGACGGGGTTTCACCATGTTGACCAGGATGGTCTCGATCTCTTGACCTCGTGATCCGCCCGCCTCAGCCTCCCAAAGTGCTGGGATTACAGGCTTGAGCCACCACGCCCAGCTTGGAAACAATTTTTTTAAAGAAAAAAACTGCAAACAATACAGAATTATAAATCTATTCAGAAATTACCTTCAAATCACAAAAGTGTTTCTTTAACACAAAGTAAATGTATATTCATCATAAACACATGGTGAAAAGAAGACTATTTTCAAAACTACTGACTTGAAGAAGATGAAACAACCATTGAAAATCAGCTAAAAGGTTGGACACAGTGGTTCACACCTGTAAAACCAGCATTTTTGGAGGCCAAGATGGATGGATTATCTGAGGTCCTGAGTTCATGACCAGTGTGATCAACATGGAAAAACAATATCTCTACTAAAAATATAAAATGGGCTGAGTGTGGTGGTGCATGCCTGTAATCCAAGCTACTTGGGAGGCTGAGGCAGGAGAATCACTTGAACGCCAGAGGCAGAAATTGCAATGAGCCGAGATCATGCCGTTGCACTTTATACTTGGCCAAAAGAGCCAAACTCTATCAGAAAAGAAAAGGAAAGAAAGAAAGAAACTCAGCTAAGAAAGACTATAAGGCTGCACAAGGTGGCTAACACCTGTAATTCCAGCACTTTGGAAGGTCGAGGTGGGTGGATCACGAGGTCAAGTGTCCAAGACCAGCCTGGCCAACATAGTGATACACCATCTCTAGTAAAAATACAAAAATTAGCCGGGCATGGTGGCACATGTCTGCAGTCCGTTACTGGGCAGGCTGAGGCAGGAGAATTGCTTGAACTCAGGAGATGGAGGTTGTAGTGAGCTGAGGTCACGCCACTGCACTCCAGGTTGGGCAACAGAGCAAGACTCAATCACAAAAATAAATAAATAAACAATAATAAAGAAAAAAGAATATATACGAGACAAGCCGTAACCAAAATTGAGGTCATATTTATAGACAAGCGCCAACACATATGTAAACAGATTGTTACAGACATACGGGCTAATTTATACATTAATTAAACCTCACATTGACTTAAGTCAAAGAGAATTGCAAATTGTCTAAAAGTACAGTATGTTGGTAAAACCAAAAAACACAATAAACTGATGTGAAGTAACTTATATTAGCTGGGTGTGGTAGCTCATGCCTGTAATCCCAGCACTTTGGGAAGTCAAGACGGGTAGATCACAAATTCAGGAGTTGGAGACCAGCCTGTCAAAAATGGTGAAACCCCATTTCAACTAAAAATACAAAAATTAGCCAGGAGTGGTGGTGCATGTCTGTGGTCCCAGCTACTTGGGAGGCTGAGGCAGAAGAAAAATTTGAACCTGGGAGCAAAGGTTGTGGTGAGCCAAGACTGTGCCACTGCACACCAGCCTGGGTGACAGAGCAAGACTCTGTAACAAAAAAAAAAAAAAAAAAAAAGGAACCTACACACTAATATGGAACTGCAAGATAGTAGTAAGTGAAATATTTACCCATAAATTCTGGTTTGAAATATTCATGTACCATTAAGAAAGAATGTGTCTAGATAAAAATATTTCACTGTGTACTCATGGAATCACTGGCTGTCAACGTACGGCAGTAAAATTTCAGAGAAAATGCAGTATAAACATAAATAGAATATTGTAATAAGAATATTTTAAGCCGGGCGCAGTGGCTCATGCCTGTAATCCCAGCACTTTGGGAGGCCGAGATGGGTGGATCACAAGGTCAAGAGATCGAGACCATCCTGGTCAACATGGTGAAACGCCGTCTCTACTAAAAATACAAAAAATTAGCTGGGCATGGTGGCGCGTGCCTGTAATCCCAGCTACTCGGGAGGCTGAGGCAGGAGAATTGCCTGAACCCAGGAGGCGGAGATTGCGGTGAGCCAAGATCGTGCCATTGCACTCCAGCCTGGGCAACAAGAGCAAAACTCCGTCTCAAAAAAAAAAAAAAAAAAAAAAAAAAAAAGAAAGTAAAAATGTATAGGAGGAGTAGCATCAGCAAGACAAAAAAATAAAGGTGCCCTATTTCTTATGCCCCAACAGCAAGAAAATTTGTCAACTATCCCTGACAAAAATGCCTTTATGAGAGAGCTAGGCACCATGGCTCACCTGTGTAATGACAGCTACATGGCACACTAAGATTGAAGAATTGCTTCAGGCCAGGATTTCAAGACCAGACTAGGCCGAATGTCATGGCTCATGTCTGTAATCCCAGCCCTCTAGTGGGTTGAGGGTAGGCAGATCACTTAAGGTCAGAAGATCCAGAACAGCTTATCTAACATGGCAAAATCATGTCTCTACTAAAAATCCAAAAAGTAGCCATGTGTGGTGATGTGTGCCTGTAATTCTGGGTACTTCAGAAGCAGACCACAATAATCACTTGAACCCAGGAGAAGATGGCAGTGAGTCAAGATCACATGACTACACTAAAACCTGTGTGAGAGAGACTCCATGTTAAAAAAAAAAAAAAAAAGCCGGGCGCGGTGGCTCAAGCCTGTAATCCCAGCACTTTGGGAGGCCGAGGCGGGTGGATCACGAGGTCAAGAGATCGAGACCATCCCGGTCAACATAGTGAAACCTCGTCTCTACTAAAAATACAAAAAATCAGCTGGGCATGGTGGCGCGTGCCTGTAATCCCAGCTACTCAGGAGGCTGAGGCAGGAGAATTGCCTGAACCCAGGAGGCGGAGGTTGCGGTGAGCCGAGATCGCGCCATTGCACTCCAGCCTGGGTAACAAGAGCGAAACTCCGTCTCAAAAAAAAAAAAAAAAAAAAAAAAAAAAAGAGACTAGCCTGGGCTCTGTAGCAAGACCCCATCTCTAAAATAAATACCTTTAAGAGGGCTTTGAGAGCCATAGAGAGACTTGTAAAACTGCTAAAGCCCAGAATTGAGGAGTGTCCTTTTCAGATGTCAGGCCCTCGTTCAGATGGCAAAGTACAGGTACTCTGTTCTCGCCTATAGATCAAAGAAATGGCCCACCCAACTTGGTCCCACAGAGAATTAGGAACTTATTTTGTGATCATCCCAAACTACTCTCAGTCACATTCTGAAAGAGGCCCTGCCCTTCCAGAGGCCTAGAGGAAGATACCCATTTACACACACGCAGGCAGGGTTGCAGGCCTTGGCCTTTACTGTGGTCCTCGAAGCGGTGTAATGACTCGGTTCCAGCTCTCTGAGCCACAGTTCATGACCAGTTCTGCCTACACAGAAACCCACGCAGTGACACGGGAAAATGCTCTCTGGTACTCAGTGAAAGCCATACTCATCCACATCCTGCTCTAAGCCCTGCCATTAGCAGACCCGATTGCATAAACCTGCCTTTATGTCTGCTCCACATATAGAAGTCCTAAAGGATATTCAGTCTGTCCAAAAATATAAAAACTGTGTAGTTACAACTACGCAAGCCTCTTATAACCATCAAGGAAAGGGGGACCCTAGTTCAGACCCAGCAGCCTTGTGACCAAGCTACAATTCCTCTCTACGGCAAACCCAGAGGGCATCCCATCACCCTGGGGGCCCAGAAAAAGATCTTTACCTTTTGAAACCATTCCTAAAAACTTGAAGAAGTGTTGGCTCATTCAAATTCAAACACACCAATACCAAACATTATTGTGCCCATTGTTAACGATTCTATTTTAATATAGCACTGGAAATATGTGGCAGAAGAATTCATAAAAAAAAAATTTGTAAAAGCCATTGCAACTGAAGACAAAGAAGTTGCTAGTTATAGATTATATAACCTTACATACACTCAGTAAACTAATAAATACACTCAGTAAAGTAGTCTAAACTAATAAATACACTCAGTAAATTAGCAAAATATAAAATTAACACACAACTCTAAATTGTGGACCCATATACATAAAACAAACTATCTGATAAAATAAACAATCTTATTTCAAATAGCATCAAAATAATAAATTTTGAGAACAAATTTAACCAAAGATGTAAAATATCTTTATACTGAAAAATATAAGATACCATTGAAAGAAACTAGAGAAGACAAAAATAAATTTTAAAATATTTTATGTCTACTGATTGAAGGCATAAATATTGTTAAAGTGACATGTTATACAAATTAACCTATAGATTCAATTAACTTCCTATGAAAATTCTAGTGGAAGCCCAGTGCAGTGGCTCACACACGTAATCCCAACACTTTGGGAGGCCGAAGCAGAGGGATTACCTGAGGTCAAGAGTTCAAGAGCAGACTGATCAACATGGAGAAACCCCATGTAAAAACAAAACAAAAAAAAAAAAAACCATGTATAATAAAAATACAAAATTAGCCAGGTGTGCTGGCACATGCCTGTAATCCTAGCTACTCAGGAGGCTCAACAGGAGAATAGCTCGAACCCAGGAGGGAGAGGTTCCGGGTGAGCTGAGATTGCGCCACTGCACTCCAGCGTGGGCAACAAGAGCAAAACTCTGTCTCAAAACCAACCAACCAATCAACAAACAAATTCTAGTGACTTTTTTTACAGTAATGAAAAAATACAATTCTAAAATGTACATAAAACTACAATAAATTTTGAATACCCAAAGCAATCTTGAGATAAAAGAACAAAGTATAAGGATATCATACTTTATAATTTCAAACTATATTTCAAGACTGCAGTAATATAAACAATATGGAATATGCAAAAAAAATAAATAAATAAACAAAAGAAAAAAAGAAAAAAAAAAAAAGGCTGGTGCGGTGTCTCATGCCTGTAATCCCAGCACTTTTGGGAGGCTGAGGCAGGCAGATCACAAGGTCAAGAGATCGAGACCATGGTGAAACCCCATCTTATTTAAAAAATTAATTAATTAATTTTAAAAAAAGAACAAAAAGCCTGTCAATGGAACAGAAACCACTACTCACACATTTCAAACATGATGCAAATCTAGAATTTAAAAAATTGTTTAGGCCGGGCGCGGTGGCTCAAGCCTGTAATCCCAGCACTTTGGGAGGCTGAGGCGGGTGGATCACGAGGTCGAGAGATCGAGACCATCCTGGTCAACATGGTGAAACCCCGTCTCTACCAAAAATACAAAAAATTAGCTGGGCATGGTGGTGTATGCCTGTAATTCCAGCTACTCAGGACGCTGAGGCAGGAGAATTGCCTGAACCCAGGAGGCGGAGGTTGTGGTGAGCCGAGATTGTGCCATTGCACTCCAGCCTGGGTAACAAGAGTGAAACTCCATATCAAAAAAAAAAAAAAAAAGCATAAAACAGAAGATGCTGCAATGTGAGTGCAAATAAATAAACAAACAAACTCAGGCTTCCCAGAAACTATTTTCTTTGAAACACAGCTTCCCAAATCAGTTTTTTTTTAAGATGGAGTTTTTTGCTCTTGTTGTTCAGGCTGGAATGCAATGGCACTATCTAAGCTCATCACAACCTGTTTCCTGGGTTCAAGCAATTCTCCTGCCTCAGCCTCCTGAGTAGCTGAATTTACAAGCAGGTGCAACCACGCCTGGCTACATTTGTATTTGTAGTAGAGACAGGGTTTCTCCATGTTGGTCAGGCTGATCTCGAACTCCTGACCTAAGGTGGTTTGCCGTCCTCGGCCTCGCAAAGTGCAGGGATTACAGTTGTGAGCAGTCCAAAAATACAAAAATTGTGTAGTTACAACTACACAAGCCTCTTATAACCAACCAAGGAAAGGTGGATCCTAGTGAAGAGCCTGTAGCCTTGTAACTAAGCTACAACTTGGGGGTCATGCCCGGCCCCAAAATAACATTTTAAGGAAAGACTTTCTCCTTGACCTTCATCTATATTGTCTACTGTATTCATTTTCATTCTCACCTACCTGGGGGCTTGGCCACCACAATCTCCTGTCTCTTCCTACTCCAAACCTCTTTTTCTTGCTCCAAACAAATGATCAGGTCTGGCTTACAGACAGCAATACCTGTTTTATTAAAAATAAATAACATAAATCCTGCTCCTATTCTCCAATGACCAATTCAATAATGTGCTCAGCTGCTAAATCAGACCCAATATACTAGTTTATAACAGACTTTTCCAAATATTTTTGATTTGGATGTTCTTTTTTTTTTTTGGATGTTCTTTTTTTTTTTTTTTGAGACGGAGTTTCGCTCTTGTTACCCAGGCTGGAGTGCAATGGCGCGATATCGGCTCACCGCAACCTCCGCCTCCTGGGTTCAGGCAATTCTCCTGCCTTAGCCTCCTGAGTAGCTGGGATTACAGGCACGCGCCACCATGCACAGGTAACTTTTTGTATTTTTAGTAGAGACGGGGTTTCACCATGTTGACCAGGATGGTCTTGATCTCTTGACCTCGTGATCCACCCGCCTCGGCCTCCCCAAGTGCTGGGATTACAGGCTTGAGCCACCGCGCCCGGCCTGATTTGGATGTTCTTAATTTTAGTATCCAGGACTATTGAAACAAAAATTGGTGTTGTCAATTAGATTTTAAAGTGTGGGCAAAAATACTTTATGCCACTAAATTTGTGGAATTACCACTAACCTAGATTGAAGGTTTAGATCAACTCAGAAATGTGGACAGTTAAGGTCAAAATGAAACATCTTGGAGTAATTCTCTTCTACATGGATTAATATCTAAGAATTTCTTGAAAACAAGGATCTGAAACTAATTTGTGCAAAGCATACTTTACCAAAAAGTATTCCAGAAAGAAAAGAAATAAAATCTTTAGAGTATATTAAGAATTGTGTATTGAAGTTTTCCTCACCCAGGAAGACCAGGTTTCTGTAGTTCTCTAACATCACATTTCTATATAAATTTCGCTGTGCGGTGTCCAGGCATTGCCACTCCTCCAGAGAGAATTCTATGGCCACATCCCTGAATGTCAGTGGTCCCTGAAAAACACACACACACACACACACACACACACATACACACACACACACAAATTACTAAGTGGTCATAGAAAGCATTTTTAATTTGAGTCAAGGTGAAATGAGAGAGTAAAGAGAATTGTTTGACTTTGTTTTGTTTTGTTTTGAGAAAGAGTTTCGCTCTTGTTACCCAGGCTGGAGTGCAATGGCGCCATCTTGGCTCACCGCAACCTCCGCCTCCTGGGTTCATGCAATTCTCCTGCCTCAGCCTGGCGAGCAGCTGGGATTACAGGCATGCGCCACCATGCTCAGCTAATTTTTTGTATATTTAATAGAGACGGGGTTTCACCATGTTGACCAGGATGGTCTCGATCTCTTGACCTCGTGATCTACCCGCCTCAGCCTCCCAAAGTGCTGGGATTACAGGCGTGAGCCACAGCGCCCAGCCTGACTTTTTTTTGTTAAGACGGGATTTCACGATGTTGGTCAGGCTGGTCTTGAACTCCCAACCTCAGGTGATCCGCCCACCTTGGCCTCCAAAGTGCTTGGATTACAGGCATGAGCCACCACGTCCAGCCGTTGTTTCTGCCTTAACAGGAGTGACTGAAATTTTAAGGGTATAAAAAGGTATATTTTTGAGTGCTATGTTCACATTCTACAGAAAGAGTTGTGTATATTCCTCAGGTGGAAAAGACATGTTGAGTTAGAAGATACCTTTTAAATTTTAATGTGAACAATAAACTGGAGAGCTTGTTAATACGGATTATTTTCTTAGATGATCTAGAATAAAGTCTGATTGTCTGAATTTCTAACAAACTCAAAAGGAATGTCAATGTCTTTTGGCCAAGAAGAATATTTTGCCAAACATCCAGTAAGGGGAAGAGCCTGGGTTTTTCCTAGTTTATCTGGCCTGTAAACAAAGATAAGAGCTTTCATTTTCCAAAGACAGATACATGGAAAGGAAATCTAATTTAAGAAAGGCAGCTGCTGGATTAATTGTGATGGTTTACGCACATTAGCTGCATTAAGATAATAATGAAGAGAAAAATAATTAACTCTATAGTGACAAAATCTGTCAGAGAGCTCCTTAACCAAGTGAATCATTAACATCAACTTGGCCGGGCGCAGTGGCTCAAGCCTGTAATCCCAGCACTTTGGGAGGCCGAGGCACGTGGATCACGAGGTCAAGAGATCGAGACCATCCTGGTCAACATGGTGAAACCCCGTCTCTACTAAAGATACAAAACATTAGCTGGGCATGGTGGCGCGTGCCTGTAATCCCAGCTACTCAGGAGGCTGAGGCAGGAGAATTGCTTGAGCCCAGGAGGCGGAGGTTGCGGTGAGCCGAGATCACGCCGAGCCTAGATCGTGCCATTGCACTCCAGCCTGGGTAACAAGAGCGAAACTCCGTCTCAAAACAAAACAAAACAAAAACATCAACTGCACTAGGACAAAGTTTTATGATGTGCTAATGCACACAGAATCCCACAGCATCATGATCGTGATATTGCCCCGCCAAAACTGAATTACAGTCTGAATTTTAACACAAAAAATAAGTTTCATGCAAAGTTCAGGATACAGATATCTTCCCTGTTCTATAATTTGTAACAATAATTTTAAGTGGTCTCTCTTTAGTGCCCTAGAGAGGAGGGATCTCCTGACATACTTTTTTTAAAACTTCCTGCGTAATAAAGTTTATTTAACTAAGCATTTGCTTAATCCTGTTTTGCATAGAGCTAATGGAGAACTCAGATGGAACTTCAACATTACATGTTTTCCGTCTTTACAAACTTCTCCAGCTTTTTCCCAAAAGGAATCTCAAGTGTCCACACCTTTTCATGCGCAACAGCCACAAAGGGAACATTTTTAATAGTGCAGATTATAAATTCATGGTAGAAATTCTGTATGGTGTATAAGTCACAGTGTAAAGAATGTAGAAAATGCTCTGGTATATATAAAATAATATTTTTTATAGAAGCTTGATAATCATAAAAATTTTTAAAAGTAGTTAAACTCTTTAGGGAGGAATAACACAATAGAGAAGTAAAGATTTGCATGACATTCTAGGAGGCAGAGTGGACAAAGCTCTTAATCTGACACGTTTTGCTTAAAAAAAAAAGTTATTTTTTCCTCTTTCTCCTCCTTTTCTGAGAATTCCTTTCAGATTAGATTCTTTGAACAAATTATACCTCCATATTGAGAATATGTCTTTAAAGATGTCAGCACCGGCCGGGGGCGGTGGCTGACGCCTGTAATCCTAGCACTTTGGGAGGCCGAGGTGGGTGGATCAACTGAGGTCAGGAGTTCAAGATCAGCCTGGCCATCATGGTGAAACCGCATCTTTAAAAAAAAAAAAAAAAAAGCCGGGCACGGTGGCCCATGTCTGTAATCCCAGCACTTTGGGAGGCCAAGGCGGGTGGATCAACAGGTCAGGAGATCGAGACCATCCTGGTCAACATGGTGAAACCCCGTCTCTACTAAAAATACAAAAAATTAGCTGGGCATGGTGGCACGTGCCTGTAATCCCAGCTACTCAGGAGGCTGAGGCAGGAGAATTGCCTGAACCCGGGAGGCGGAGGTTGCGGTGAGCCGAGATCGCGCCATTGCACTCCAGCCTGGGTAACAAGAGCGAAACTCCGTCTCAAAAAAAAAAAAAAAAAAAAAAAAATTAAAAAAAAAAAAGGAAAGCAAAATCATCTATTCCTTTCAGACAATAAATTATTTTATTATTTCTATAAAAATTATATAGTAAACAATTAGTCATATGGAAACACTTCTCATAGGTACAAAGTTTCATCTCATAAAATTTAGCATGAAACCCAAAAATCAAGATAACAGGATATGGAACAGAAATATTCACTGCAGGGCCGGGCGCGGTGGCTCAAGCCTGCAATCCCAGCACTTTGGGAGGCCAAGGCGGGTGTATCACGAGGTCAAGAGATCGAGACCATCCTGGTCAATATGGTGAAACCCCGTCTGTACTAAAAACACAAAAAAGTAGCTGGGCATGGTGGCGCGTGCCTGTAATCCCAGCTAGTCAGGAGGCTGAGGCAGGAGAATTGCTTGAACCCAGGAGGCGGAGGTTGCCGTGAGCCGAGATCGCGCCATTGCACTCCAGCCTGGGTAACAAGAGCGAAACTCCGTCTCAAAAAAAAAAAAAATGTTTAAAGTCATTCTGATAAAAAAAAAAAAAGGTAAATGAGAATTTTTAAGAAATGGACGGCCGGGCAAATCACGAGGTCAAGAGATCAAGACCATCCTGGTCAACATGGTGAAACCCTGTCTCTACTAAAAATACAAAAAATTAGGCCGGGCGCGGTGGCTCAAGCCTGTAATCCCAGCACTTTGGGAGGCCGAGGCGGGTGGATCACAAGGTCAAGAGATCGAGACCATCCTGGTCAACGTGGTGAAACCCCGTCTCTACTAAAAATACAAAAAAAATAGCTGGGCATGGTGGTGCGTGCCTGTAATCCCAGCTACTCAGGAGGCTGAGGCAGGAGAATTGCCTGAACCCAGGAGGCGGAGGTTGCGGTGAGCCGAGATCGCGCCATTGCACTCCAGCCTGGGTAACAAGAGCGAAACTCCGTCTCAAAAAAAAAAAAAAAAAAAAAAAAAAAAAAAAAAAAAAAAAAAAAAAAAAATTAGCTGGGCATGGTGGCGTGTGCCTGTAATCCCAGCCATTCAGGAGGCTGAGGCAGGAGAATTGCTTGAACCCAGGAGGCGGAGGTTGCGGTGAGCCGAGATCGCGCCATTGCACTCCAGCCTGGGTAAAAACAGTGAAACTCCATCTCAAAAAAAAAAAAAAAACCCTACTGATGATGTGTTGTTGCCATGGTAATCCTGCTCAGTAGGAGAGGAACCGCAGGTTCAGACATTTGGTGTATGTGCTTGGCTGAGGAGCCAATGGGGCGAAGCTACCATCTGTGGGATTATGACTGAACGCCTCTAAGTCAGAATCCCGCCCAGGCGGAACCATACGGCAGCGCTGCGGGGCCTCGGTTGGCCTCGGAGCCTCGGTTGGCCTCGGATGGCCTCGGATAGCCGGTCCCCCGCCGTCCCCGCCAGCGGGCCGCTTCGCCCCGCGCGGGACGTGTCCCGCCGCGCGCCGGGACCGGGGTCCGGTGCGGAGTGCCCCTCGTCCTGGGAAACTGGGGTGCGGCCAGAAAGGCGGCCGCCCCCTCGCCCGTCACGCAACGCACGTTCGTGGGGAACCTGGCGCTAAACCATTCGTAGACGACCTGCTTCTGGGTCGGGGTTTCGTATGTAGCAGAGCAGCTCCCTCGCTGCGATCTATTGAAAGTCAGCCCTCGACACAAGGGTTTGTAAAAAAAAAGAAAAATAAAAAAAATTAAAAAAAAAAAAAAAAAACGGAATGCATGATTAGATTTTAATTGTTTTCTAAAACCCATTTTTTTTTTTTTTTTTTTTTTATTGAGACGGAGTTTCGCTCTTGTTACCCAGGCTGGAGTGCAATGGCGCGATCTCGGCTCACCGCAACCTCCGCCTCCTGGGTTCAGGCAATTCTCCTGCCTCAGCCTCCTGACTAGCTGGGATTACAGGCACGCGCCACCATGCTCAGCTAATTTTTTGCACCATTAGTAGAGACGGGGTTTCACCATGTTGACCAGGATGGTCTCGATCTCTTGACCTCGTGATCCACCCGCCTCGGCCTCCCAAAGTGCTGGGATTACAGGCTTGAGCCACCGCGCCTGGCCTTTTTTTTGTTTTGAGACAGAGTTTCGCTCTTGTTACCCAGGCTGGAGTGCAATGGCGCGATCTCGGCTCACTGCAACCTCCGCCTCCTGGGTTCAGGCAATTATCTTGCCTCAACCTCCTGAGTAGCTGGGATTACAGGCACGTGCCACCAGACCCAGCTAATTTTTTGTATTTTTAGTAGAAATGAGGTTTCACCATGTTGACCAGGATGGTCTCGATCTCTCGACCTCGTGATCCACCCGCCTCGGCCTCCCGAAGTGCTGGGATTACAGGCTTGAGCCACCGCGCCCGGCTAAAACCCATTTCTTTTATGCCCTTTGCAAATATTTTTGTGCCTTAAATTTTACTAATTAAATGCAATTTACAGTTACAAGAAACTAAAGTCAAAATAAGTGAACAAATGTTTACAAGGTGACAAACCCATACAGTAACAGTGCTGATTAGAAAACAGATGTGTCAGGCAGGGCATGGTGGCTCACACCTGTAATCCAAGCACTTTGGAGGCCAAGGCGGGTAGATCACCTGAGGTCGGCAGCAGAACACCAGCCTGACCAACATGGTGAAACCTCGTCTTAAATAAATAAATAAGGGGGCCGGGCGCGGTGGCTCAAGCCTGTAATCCCAGCACTTTGGGAGGCTGAGGTGGGTGGATCACGAGATCGAGAGATCGAGACCAACCTGGTCAACATGGTGAAACCCCGTCTCTACTAAAAATACAAAAAATTAGCTGGGCATGGTGGCGCATGCCTGTAATCCCAGCTACTCAGGAGGCTGAGGCAGGAGAATTGCCTGAACCCAGGAGGCGGAGGTTGCGGTGAGCCGAGATCGCGCCATTGCACTCCAGCCTGGGTAACAAGAGCGAAACTCCATCTCAAAAAAAAAAAAAAAAAAATAAGAAAACAGATGTGTCTGACCTATACGTTAAGTCAGGCCATTCAAACACTTGAAAGATTCTCCCACCCACTCCTGCTCACTAAACTTCTCATTGACCAACCTCTCAACAGACACTGCAATTATGCCCCAGTTAACTGCCCCAAGTTCATTTGACTTTGCAAGTTCTTGCACCATCTCACTGGGGTGACTTTGTGTTTTTCTGTCTTGTGGGATACTATTTTTTCTTTCACAAATCTTAAGAGAATCCAGAGGGCAAAAATTATTTCTGTGTTTTTCTTTCAAAACCAGCATCTGTATGACTGATCAGCAGTGTGTCATCTCCAAGGAATAGAAGCTGGGTTAGGTGAAGTCAGTCTTAATGTCTCAAAGAGCTAGCTTTTCAAAGAGTACACCAGGCGATTGTGTTCAGTCCCAGGGTATCTACCTGCTTCCTTGAGGATACATGTCATACCTCAGGTTGTCCTATGAGAGACAATGCCCCAGGAGCTGCTATTCATGAGACACTCTAGCCAACACACCCACCATGGTGGGAATCTTGGTTTTTCCTCAGACAGTACTAAAACCCAGGACCAGAAAAAAACTGAAGAGTGGCTGATGACCCATGACTCCATAAAGTTACCAAATGGAAACCTTGACCCAACAATATATATATATTTTTTTCCCAAGACGGGGTTTCGCCATGTTGGTTAGGCTGCTCTTGAACTCCCGACCTCAGGTGATCCATCCGCCTTAGCCTCCAAAGTGCTTGGATTACAGGCGTGAGCCACTACGCCTGACTGACCCAACAATATTCTTTTTTTTTTTTTTTTTTTTGAGACAGAGTTTCACTCATTACCCAGGCTGGAGTGCAATGGCGCAATCCCGGCTCACCGCAACCTCCGCCTCCTGGGTTCAGGCAATTCTCCTGCCTCAGCCTCCTGAGTAGCTGGGATTACAGGCACGTGCCACCATGCCCAGCTAATTTTTTGTATCTTTAGTAGAGACGGGGTTTCACCATGTTGACCAGGATGGTCTCGATCTCTTGACCTCCTGATCCACCCACCTCGGCCTCCCAAAGTGCTGGGATTACAGGCTTAAGCCACCGCGCCCAGCCCCAAGAATATTCTTGTAAGAACTCTGTGCCTAGGGAATATAAAAGCAAAAGACGCAGAGGTTTTTTAACAATACAGTGTAACGGATTATTATTTGCTATATTCTCATGGGAAATATTCACTAACAGAAGACAGTTTTTAAAATAGTGCCATTAGGCCGGGCGCGGTGGCTCAAGCCTGTAATCCCAGCACTTTGGGAGGCCGAGACGGGTGGATCACAAGGTCAAGAGATTGAGACCATCCTGGTCAACATGGTGAAACCCCGTCTCTACTAAAAAAAATAGAAAAAAATTAGCTGGGCATGGCGGCGCGTGCCTGTAATCCCAGCTACTCAGGAGGCTGAGGCAGGAGAATTGCCTGAACCCAGGAGGCGGAGGTTGCGGTGAGCCGAGATCGCGCCATTGCACTCCAGCCTGGGTAACAAGAGCGAAACTCCGTCTCAAAAAAAAATAATAATAAAAATAAAATAGTGCCATTAAATGCTTTATCAAAACATTATTAATTGAAATATAATCAAATGGACAATAAAACAAATAGCTGATAATGTGTATTACGGAGGGAAAGCTGGCATTTGGGAATGTCAAAGCCACTGGAAATTTAGTATTTTATTGCAAATCAGAGTTAAGCTGGAAGAACAGGGAGCAAGCGTAGACTTGAGACCCTGCTTGGGACACATATGAAAAATGCAGGGAAAAAGAAGTCCCTGTGGACTGTGAAAATAATTCAGTGGCAGAAAATTAATTAGACTGAGGGGACTCGAGTCCCTGCAGTCCTCTTTTTGAAAAAAATGTAAAATGCTTTTTTTTTTTTTGGAAATTATACTACATCAGAGGAAACAAAATTTGGGCTTAAACAACTTAACTGCCAATTAAACTTCGATTATATAAGGAGAAAATTGCCAACATGATCGTATAAATCAAGAGACTAGGTAACTGTACCTAACTAATTTGATTTTCTTCATGCATCTTATATAAGTCTATTATTCAAGTTCCTTCCATAGACCACAAACTACAAACCATAGCTGAGTGCTCTACAATAGCTGAACCACTTTATGATTAAGTGCTTTCATATTATTCGGTGACTTCATTCTTTCTTTCTTTTTTTCTTTTTTTTTTTTTTTTTTTTTTTTTTTTTTGTGAGACAGTTTCACTTTTGTTGCCCACATTGGAGAGCAGGGGCGCGATCCCAGTCACTGCAACCTCCGTCTCCCTGGTGCAAGCGATTTTCCCGCCTCAGCCTCCTGAGTAGCTAAAATTACAGGCGCGCGGCACAAGTTCGGCTAATTTTTGTATTTTTTTAATAGAGATGGGGTTTCAACCGTGTGGGCCAGGATGGTCTCAAACACCTGACTTCAGATGAACCACCCACCTCGGCCTCTCAAAGTGCGGGGATTACAGGCGTGAACCACCGCGATTGCCCCCCCGCCCCCATATGTTTTTAATAGAAAAAAAAAAAAAAAAAGGAACTGGGAACCCCAAAGACCGAAGCTCTTCCCATTCATTAATCGACACCTCCAGTCAGGATTCTCCCCCTGACCACCTTCCCGAGGTATCTGCACAATCTGAGAGAGACGGGGCACTGCGGGTGCAGAGCTGCCCAGAGGGGGCTCCAGACCAGGGCACCGTCACTGTGCAGGGAAGAGACAGGAGCCCTGGGCCCGGCTTTCTGCACGGCCGCCATCTTAGGGGTTAAGGGGACTGACGCCGAGCTGGGCAAGAACTCCAGCTGCAGACTGTGGAGCTGACTGCGGGGAGGCCTGAGTCCCACCACTGCCGCTGCCCACCGGTTTCTATCAGCCCCTCCCTCTCTCGGGATGCCGACAAGGAACTCACCATTTCTAGGCTTGCAGGCGGTCCCGGCGTCTTCGCTATGGATCTCCGAATACCTGCAGGTCACAGGGCCGCCAAGGCTGGGCCTCTAGGAGCAGAAGACACAGAGGAGTGAGGACAAGACTTGGAACTCCGGCTGCACCGGCAGACAAAGGACCCGCCACTTCCTGGAAGCCGCCTCTTCTGCTCCAGCTGCGTGCCTGATTGGACGGTTCCCAGCCAAGCGATCCTGATTGGATAATATTTAAGCCACCGTCTTTTCAGGCCCTGAGTGACAGAAAATGTGCTCAGATGCTGGCTGGGCTGTGAACGAGGTTCAGAAACGAATGACCATCCCACCTGTGTCCAGATTCAAGTAGGAGAATCACAATTGCAACTGTCAACTGTGTTTCCTGTATCACTGGGGACCTCACTGGTGAGCTGTGTGTCTGTGTAAGAGTAACAATCCAAACTTTCAGCTGTGTGTGGATATGAGAGCCACAATCTCACCTGTATGATGGGCACTGTTATGACACTCTCTCTACCACCTGAGGGTTTTATGTGATATACTTGAGAGTCACAAAACTCTCTGTGACTTTTATATACAAGAATGAAATCCGGCCGGGCGCGGTGGCTCAAGCCTGTAATCCCAGCACTTTGGGAGGCCGAGGCGGGTGGATCACAAGGTCAAGAGATTGAGACCATCCTGGTCAACATGGTGAAACCCTGTCTCTACTAAAAATACTAAAAATTAGCTGGGCATGGTGGCGTGTGCCTGTAATCCCAGCTACTCAGGAGGCTGAGGTAGGAGAATTGCCTGAACCCAGGAGGCGGAGGTTGCGGTGAGCCGAGATCGCGCCATTGCACTCCAGCCTGGGTAACAAGAGCGAAACTCCATCTAAAAAAAAAAAAAAGAAAAAAAAAGAAAGAAATCCATGACCTTACCTACTTCCTTAAGGCTAGCTGTGAGAGTCAGAATGTCTCCTGTTCACTGAGTTTAGGTATAAGAGTCATCACTGTGCCTGTGCACTGGGTTCATTTAAATCTGATAGTTCTCCTTGTTGGCTTGGCTCAGGAAGAAGAGCTACATCACCTCAAGGCTGGCCCATGTTATGTCACAATGTCTCCTATGGTTGAGGCCCAGCAGAAGAGTCACATCACCCAGGTTTGGGACCTAGTTATATTACAATCCTCTGTTCGGCAGGTCTCAGGCAAGAAAACCACATCACCTAGGTACTGGGCCTGGTACGTGTCACAATCCCTCCTGTTGTTTTGGCTCATGTTGAAGATTTACATCACCTAGCTTCTGGAATTAACTGTACATCACAATCCCACCTATGACCTTGGCTCAGGCAGAAGAGTTATACTGAACTATGTGTAGGTCACAATCCCCTCTATAGGCAGGTCCGAGATAAGAGAGACACATCATCTAGGTGCTAAGCCTTGGTATATTCTCAAAATGTTTTTTGTTGGCTTGGCTCAGGTTATATATACACCTCACACAGATGCTGAGCCCAGGTGTCTGTTACAATACTCCCTGTGGGCTCTGCTCAGGATAAAAAGTCACATCATCTAAGTGTTGGGCCCAGGTATATGTCACAATGCCCCTTGTGACTTTGGCCAGGCATGAGAGTCAGAACACATAGGTGCTTGGCTCAGTATGAATTATCTTGCCTAAAATCAAATGCGACAACCATTTAAAGACTTTGTCACATTCTTCACATTTCTAGAATTTCTCACCAGTATGATTACTTTCATGGTTATAAGTGTGAGGTGTTATCAAAATTATTGTCACATCCTTCAGGTTAAGTCAAGTTTCTCTCCAGTATAAATTTTCTTATGTTCAGTAAGATTTGTGAATGGCTTTGCCACACTCTTCACATTTGTAAGGTTTCTTCTCTTCAGTATGATCCAAGATCAAAAAAACAAAAAAAAGAAAGAAAGGCTAAACGTAAATGAGTACATTATGTTAAAAAATAAAATGATGCAGCCGGGCGCGGTGGCTCAAGCCTGTAATCCCAGCACTTTGGGAGGCCCAGTTGGGTGGATCACGAGGTCGAGATCAAGACCATCCTGGTCAACATGGTGAAACCCCGTCTCTACTAAAAATACAAAAAAATTAGCTGGGCATGGTGGTGCATGCCTGTAATCCCAGCTAATCAGGAGGCTGAGGCAGGAAAACTGCCTGTACCCAGGAAGCAGAGGTTGCACTGAGCTGAGATCGCGCCATTGCACTCCAGCCTGGGTAACAAGAGCGAAACTCAGTCTAAATAAATAAATAAATAAACAAAATGAAAAAAATTAAGCATTTCACTACATAATTAAAGTAAAAATAAAGGCAGTAAAACAGAAAATGAGAAAAAGCATATCTACAGGAAATACATAAAACAATAATAAAACTGGTAATAGTAACCACATTTCTTTAAACAATCATTATAAATATAAATTAATTAAACTACTTAATAAAAAAATGTAATCTCAGGACTTTGGGAGACCAAGGTGGGTTGATCACTTGATCCCAAGAGTTCCAGACCAGCTTGAGCAACATGGCAATACCCCGTCTCTATGAAAAGTACAAAAATTTATCAGGGCATGATGGCACATGCCTGTAACTCACCTACTTGAGAGGCTAAAATAAGAGGATTATCTGAGTTTGGGAGGTTGAAGTTGAAGTGAGTTCTGATCACATCACTGCAAACCAGCCTAGTTGAAAAAGCGAAACCTATGCCGGGCGCGGTGGCTCAAGCCTGTAATCCCAGCACTTTGGGAGGCCGAGGCTGGTGGATCACGAGGTCAAGAGATCGAGACCATCCTGGTCAACATGGTGAAACCCCGTCTCTACTAAAAATACTAAAAAAATTAGCTGGGCATGGTGGCGTGTGCCTGTAATCCCAGCTACTCAGGAGGCTGAGGCAGGAGAATTGCCTGAACCCAGGAGGCGGAGGTTGCGGTGAGCCGAGAGCGCGCCATTGCACTCCAGTCTGGGCAACAAGAGTGAAACTCCGTCTCCAAAAAAAAAAAAAAAAAAAGAAAAAGCGAAACCTTATCTTTTTTTTTTTTTCATTTTGTTTTTTGTTTTTATAGAGACAGGGTTTCACTATGTTGTCCAGGCTGATCTCAAACTCCTGACCTCAAGTGATCCACCCGCCTCAGCCTCCCAAAGTGCTAGGATTACAGGCATGAGCCACCCACCGTGCCCGGCCATGAAACCTTATCTTAAAGATAAATGAATAAATAAATAAAATTATAAAAATAAAAATAAAATAAAATGCCTGGATGGCTTAAGAAAATAGCATACAGGCCGGGCGCGGTGGCTCAAGCCTGTAATCCCAGCACTTTGGGAGGCCGAGGCCGGTGGATCACGAGGTCAAGAGATCGAGACCAACGTGGTCAACATGGTGAAACCCCGTCTCTACTAAAAATACAAAAAATTAGCTGGGCATGGTGGCGCGTGCCTTTAATCCCAGCTACTCAGGAGGCTGAGACAGGAGAATCGCCTGAACCCAGGAGGCGGAGGTTGCAGTGAGCCGAGATTGTGCCATTGCACTCCAGCCTGGGTAAGGAGAGTGAAACTCTGTCTCAAAAAAAAAAAAGAAAAAAGAAAAAAAAAAGAAAATAGCATACAGGCCGGGCGCGGTGGCTCACGCCTGTAATCCCAGCACTTCGGGAGGCCAAGGCGGGTGGATCACAAGGTTGAGAGATCGAGACCAACCTGGTCAACATGGTGAAACCCCATCTCTACTAAAAATACAAAAAATTAGCTGGGCGTGGTGGCACGTGCCTGTAATCCCAGCTACTCAGGAGGCTGAGGCAGGAGAATTGCCTGAACCCAGGAGGCGGAGGTTGCGGTGAGCCGAGATCGCGCCATTGCACTCCAGCCTGGGTAGCAAGAGCAAAACTCTGTCTCAAAAAAAAAAAAAAAAGAAAAAAAGAAAATAGCATACAATATGCTCCCTACAAGAGACTAATTTTAGGTCAGAAACAGTGGCTCATCCCTGTAATCTCTACACTGGGAGGCTGAGGCTGGAAGATCACTTGAGGTCAGAAGTTTGAGACCAGCCTGGACAATATGGCAAAGCTCCATCTCTAATAAATAAATATACATATGGATATGAAAATTAGGAAGGGCGTTGGCACATTCCTGTAATCCCAGCTATTCAACATGCTAGACACAAGAAGCACTTGAACCTGTAAGGCAGAGGTTGCAGCGAGTGGAGATTGTGCCACCACACTCCAGCCTGGATGACAGAGGAAGACTGTCTCAAAAAAAAAAAAAGTTTAGGATTGAGTCAAATAGGCTGAAAGTAACAGAATGGAAAAACTCTGTATTTCATGCAAATAGTAACCACAATTGTGTGAGATATTCATAATCATATTAGACATAATAAGCTACATCTCAAGTACTAGCTTGAAACAAAGATTGATATTATATAATAGTATAATGGGTCAATTTATCTACTTTTTATATGTATATACAAGATTAGGTCTCCAAAATATATAAAACAAATACTCAGAAAACTAAAGCAAAAAATACCTAGTGACATAATAATTGTAGACAAGACCTTTTTTTTTTTTTTTTGAGACGGAGTTTCGCTCTTGTTACCCAGGCTGGAGTGCAATGACACAATCTCGGCTCACTGCAACCTCTGCCTCCTGGGTTCAGGCAATTCTCCCGTGTCAGCCTCCTGAGTAGCTTGGATTATAGGCATGTGTCACCATGCCCAGCAACTTTTTTGTATTTTTAGTAGAGACAGGGTTTCACCGTGTTGACCAGGATGGTCTCAATCTCTTGACCTTGTGATCCACCCGCCTCGGCCTCCCAAAGTGCTGGGATTACAGACCCGAGCCACCGCGCCCGGCCTTTTTTTTTTTTTTGAGATGGAATCTCATTTGGTCACCCAGGCTGGAGTGCAATGGCACAGTCTCGGCTCACTGCAACCTCCACTTCCCAGGTTCAAGTAATTCTCCTGCCTCAGCCTCCTGAGTAGCTGGGATTACAGGCACATGCCACTGAGCCCAGCTAATTTTTGTATTTTTAGTAGAGATGGGGTTCACCATCTTGGCCAGGCTGATCTTGAACTCCTGACCTTATGATCCACCCACCTCAGCCTCCTAAAGTGCTGGGATTACAGGCATGAGCCACTGCACCC